TTCGGCCTCAGCCTCTGCATCCTTTGCCACCAGGTAGTTGTAAACAGCCTCTATATTGGCACGAAGCTTCTTTGGTTCTGGCACAACCTTCCGGCACGCCTTCAACACCTCCTTTGTGCTTGGCTCCTTTTGTTTCTTGGCGGCGAGTAAAGCCTTCTTCTCTTGGAATTCCAAAGGATCCACATTAAAAAGAGCACGGTGAAGAAGCCCACGGACAATGCCAGCCAATGGAGACTTCAAGTCGTCAACTAAATCATTCCATCTTTTCATCCAGTGAAAGACATCCAACTTGATGGTGGCACCAGGAAAGCAGTCGGCAAGTATCTTCCTTACGTTGCAGCAGTTGTCCACCCACACTATCTTGACCGCTTGTTCCTGTGGACCAAAGAAACTCGATTGGTTGGGAGCAGGAAAGGATCTTGCTTCTCTGCCTGTCAATTCGGCCAATCGATTCTCATATTCTTGGCATGCATTGTGTCGGCCTACTGCTTTGGCCGCATCTCGGTTGGTGTTCAGTCGGTTGCGGAGTCGAATCAAATCTTCCTTTATTTCGCTAAACGACTCTGACATCTTGAGAGCTTTCCAGAAGACTGTGAGCCCATCTTCATTTTGAATAGTGATGATGCACTTGAAAGGAGCGAAACTCTGGCCAGCTTTGGTCCAAACCCTTATCTTCCCTGCAAGCTTATAGTTGAAATCAATCTTGGCAGCTGAACACTCAAGGCACATCATCTTGGACTCCACAAATCCCTTGCGCAACTGGAACACCGTACTGACAATCGAGTCAATTCGAAACTTGCTCAGGACCAGACCATTATACCCTTGCCTGTCACCAAAATCAGAAAACAATGGAACCATGCTGTCCTCCTCTTCTTCCACTGCGGCTGGAACCTGGTTGTTATTATTCTCCGGTTGGCCATTCTGGTGATTCAGAAGGGCTTGAAGAGCCTGATTGTAAAACTCAAGAGCATCTTCAAGGCGAAGTTCCACCGCTGTTATCTCATCCTCCAGCTTCTGGTAATATGCACGGGCCTTTCCCTGCCACCCAGGGATAAGTTTCTTCAATCCGTGGGCTTGGTAGTCATCGGGATCAGCCTCCAACAGCTCAAAGCACGTCGTTATACCGGCATCAATTAGACGTTTCAGCTTGACAGTCCCCAGTCCTGGAAGGCGATTCCTTTCTCCATAAGTGTTGTTGTCATCCTTGTCACCCAACAAATAAGCGAATGATAAGTCAGTGGAGTGTCTTGAGCGGGCTGTTTCGAGCTCCATATTTGTGCGAGTTAACACACTGCTGCAGTCAAGTCTCCTTCTGGCAAGTCTGGCAGTTTCAGCATCTGGGTATCTCTCCAAATTGAGGGCCTTTTCAATTCGCCGCTGTTTCTTCCTTGGACGGATGATCTTCTCTGCTGCGACTGCAGACAGGTACATCTGGTAATCGGTGAGATAATGGTCAATAGCCAGTCCTTTCAGTCTACGGTGAAGCTGCGCGGTTGAGGTGGTGGCCGATTCTTCCACAATTTACCGGTAAAGTTCATCATCAACAGCGTAACCCCCTTCACCAAGAAAGAATGTAAAGAAACCAACATAAACCTTAGCGTCCAGTTCCATGGATTCTTTGTTGTAGCCAGCAAATCGCCGAGTACATCCCTTGCAGTAATAGAGCATCGTGTCCAAATACCGGTGTGAGTGCATTCCATACATCACCTTTGGACAGTTGATCCAGCGAGACCTCCTAAGATCAACAAAGCTGTTCTTCTTGCAGTGCGGACAGCTTGGAACATGGTTCTGAATAATGAGATGCGGCGCAAAGCATGCCATTGGCTTCACATTGAAACTCTCCACGGTCCACTTTCGCGCCTCTTTATTTTGGCTGAGTAGATTGCTGTCGAATTTCCCACTTTTGGGACAGATGTTTCGCCAGTTGTTCTTCTCAAAGAAGCTGCGAGCGTTGGTATCTATTGCCTTCCTTGTTCGCTCTATGAAGCGCCATTGTGGGTCACTCAATTGCTTTGGCTTATTGCTTGTCATTGTCGAGTGGAGCAGTGGTTGTGCTTTACAATGCTTCCGATTGACTTGCTTCCGATTGACACCAACAGGCGCGAAAAGTTTGAATTTCAACCGGGAGTTAGGGATAGAAATTTGCAGCTCTAAGTGAAATATTTCGACACCAAATATAGACTTTGAAACAATGTATCGAGTTTAACACATTAAAGACTAAAGGATACCACGTCTTAGGGCGCCGTGGTGTAAGGAAGAGAACTGCGCAAGATTTAGAGGAGGATTCGGGATTGGGAGTCCGGGATTGAATTTGAGTCCCGTACCCTAACTCTTTTCTTTTCTTTTTTTTTTTTCTTCTTGCGGGTTACCGGTAGTTCGCCACACCAACGAAGCTGTGCGGAGCGGAGCTGATTGCTGGCACAAACTACTGGCAAAGTCTGGTTGGCTGGAAAAGGACAGTCGGAGGGAGAAGGCAACTCTTCTCCAGTGTGGTCGCGGATGACTTTTGAGGCTCCTCAAGGGCATCTTCCACTAATTGAAATGAGATGAACTGGAGACCCAGCGTCTTTGATTTTTAAATGAAAGAGTGCTGCTGCAGTAAACAGCTACTTGAGTAGCTAGGGCGGGTCGAATTGGTACCAGTATACCACCAACCGCTGCACACGTAGAGAGACTACTGTGGGACAACTCATTATTTGGCAACCGATGGAATGTACGGCAGCCTCCAAGTGGGCATTGATGCGAAGGCACTCCAACCACCATATTCTCGAAAGAAAACAGGTTTGCCATAAACCGACCTAACCTCAATAAAGCAGCAGTCAACTTTGCTCAAAATGGTCAAAACTCTTTTGAAAGAAGACAACCCTCCGTTCAGACTTTCCTTGCTTGCTTCCGATGACATGATTGATTTGGCTTCCACAAGCGGTGAAGACAGCAGTGCTAATGATGCCACGGGCAGCTTAGGCGATTGGATTCAGAAAGGCTCCTGGTCAGCTATGTTTCCAGTTAGCGGAAAAGATGCCCCTGAGGATGACAGCGACGATGAAGATTTTGAAGAATTTGCCGGTGACGGCATTGAAACATCGCCAAAGCCACAGCCACACCCCACTCGCCACATTGCTGGATACGCAGGAGAAAAGGACGCAGCTGCGCTAGAGCGTCGAAGACGGTTGACATCCATGATGATGCAACACCAAGAATCTGTGAGGAGCCTGGGTTCTCTAGCGGGAGCTTCCAATCATGAACCAAGTGCAAAGGATGGAAACAACAGCTCTCTAACGGGGTCATGGACAAGCATGTTGGGAGGTTTTTTGGATGCAAACAACAAGTCCTCGAACAGCATCAACGGCAACCCTGACGACCTGAAATCCAGTAGCAACCATAGCACTGGCAGCAAACCGTCTCGCACCAGTTTGGCCAGGATCTTCAAAAAGACAAGTTCGAAAAAGGTTTGTCACCCATCCACAACCGTTGAGAATGGCCCGCCTGATGCTGCTGCCAAAGCCTCTGGCAAGCAAGATTCCGACATGGTGTATGATATTGCCAAACCACGCACCTCTCTCCCTGCGTGTACCCACCGAAAGAGGGAGCTTTCGCCCATCTGCAGGCCGCGCAGAACGCATTCTTTGCAGCTTGCACACACCAACCCTGGAGTGAAGGAAACGTTTGCCACCGAACGCAAAGAGAGAATCCACCGTAGCCAAAAGGGTCGATCCCCAACCCGGTCTGTACGAAGCACTGCTGCTGGTGCACACGGAGAGCCATTGGTCCGTCGCACACGTTCCGGTGACATTAATGGGATCGGACAGAGACCTGCGCGTCGAACACGTTCCGGTGGTGATGCAAAGGGTGGGATTGTACAACCTTCCAGTAGTGAAAAGAGACCCATACGGAGAACACGAACCGAAGATGGCGCTGTCCGGCCAAGAAACCTCAGACGAACATTGTCTTCCACTGCTCCTACATGCAACAAGGGTGTTGCAAGAAGCTCTTCTACTTCTGGAACAGATACGGGTGCCACCGGCGAGGCAACATCGCGTCGCCCTCGTGCGGGGAGGGGCAGCCGCTCACCCCCGAGACGCACTCTGTCGGGGCCATCCCTGAGACGCACGGCCTCTGGAACGGCGAGTCGACGTTCGCGAGGAGGCACTCATGATAACCCCACCAGACGATCTCCCAATCCTCCCTTGCGACGAACTCGCTCTGGCGACGGCGGCCGATCCCCCTTGCGCCGAGCCACTACGGATGATGCTCACAGTGTTCGACCGAAACGATCACCACCATTGCGACGATCCCGCACCGACGATACTAGTAGCCATGGTAGTACCGGTAGAAGGGACATGACTCGGCGTGAAAAAGCTGCTGTGATTCTTGGCGATGAGTAGGGGCATGGGCAATGCATCCTTTGCAAGAAGGAGAAATCAAACGTACCTGGTACCTACCGTACAAGGATTGATAGATACGTAAACAAGCTTGGTATAGATACGCACAATCCAAGACGGTGATTTTTATTGTTCTTGATTGATGTTCGAAGTTGGCTCTGCCTCTTGGCAAAGGATGCATTGCCAAAGTGAAGGATCATCTGCAAAGTACAAGGATAGATAGATGACAGATGTGGATGCACTTCAAAAAGCAGTGGTTATTATAAGAGGAGTTCCTAGCGAAACGGCGTCGCTGATACTACATGGTTCTCGAGTGTTGCTGTTTTGCGCTGGCCCTGTTTGTGCCTTGTTTGTTTTGGTGGGAGCCCTTGCCTTTCTTTCTGCTTGTACGTCGTTCTTTACACTTGCTGCTTTGCGGCTGCAAATTCCTCCAACAAGGCCACAATATCTTGCTTGTTATTGACGCGGGCGGCATCCAACGCGGTCTTTCCTCGATCATCTGGAATGGACACATCCGCATTCACATGGTCGCTAAGCAGATAGCGTACAATATCTGTCTTTCCAGACCGTGCTGCAAATTGCAATGCCGTCATGCCCTGTCGTCCCTTGGCATTGGGAGGAACGCCTATGGTTTCCACCATGTACTTTGTAAATTGCAAATCTCCCTTGCGACAGGCTGTATGCAAGAGTTGTTCGAGTTCCGGTGTCGTTTTCGTTTCTTGTGACAATAATAAGAGTTGAGCGGTTCTTTCCAATAAGGCGACAGTGTCGGGTTGTGGATTCTTGTAGGCGGTTTGTAATGCCGTGCAGACACGGACCAGCGGAGGCAATACGGGTCCTTCTTCGAGTGTGAGCATGGGATTGACAGCATTCGCAAAGTCATCGTGCGGGGCACTTCCATCGGCATTGGCGCCGGCTTGTAGCAACAATTCCAAAATGGAGACTAGTTGGGTCTTGTCCACTGGAGTAGTAGTTTCTGTCTCGTCGTCGTCATTGTCTTGCAACAACAAATCAATGGTGATTTGAAAGGGCGTTTTGCCACGAAAGACTTGTTCCAGCAAATTCTTCTTGTCAGTGTCATTTGCAGCGGTCACAATTTGTTGGACATCTTCAACCTTTCCTTCTTGAATGGCCGTAAAGAGCGGTGGTGCTTGAGGCGTCAACAAGGCAGCCAATGCTGGATTTTCTTGACAATATTCCGACGGTGTCTTTCCAAAAAAATCCGCCAAAGACACATCCGCTCCTCCTTCCTTGATGAGCAATTCAATACATTCGAATCGTTCTGTTGCTTTTCCCTTGTTGCTCTGCACGGCACAATGGAGTGGCGTGGCACCCGTCAATTTGTTTTGCGCATTGACTGCCGCTTTGTATTCAATCAACGCATCGACGGCTTCCACGTTGCCCCACAGCGCGGCAATGTGCAACCCCGATTGATTCACTGCATTGGAATGACTCGGATCCACGCCGTCTTGTTGTACCAACCGCTTGATCGCACCAAAATCATTTCGCATGGACGCCGTCAAAATGGCGTCCCATTCGGGAGGTGCAAAGTTAGCAGCGTTCATCATTGTGGTCGAAGTAGTACTAGTTTGTAATGGCTTGATTCAAACGTCCTTGTTCACTATCAGGCTCTTCTGACGCCTGCTGATTCAACCAGAGCTGGACCATGGACTGATACGGACGTTCTCCAACAACAACGAAATAACCAATGAATTGAATGAATGAATAATCGTTTGGGTTTCCTTTCGTGGTTGGGTTGTGCTTCGCCTTGGATATTTTAGGATTTGACGAATTCGATTGTTTTCGATTTTCAACGAAACAAAAGTGTGAAAAAAGAAACTTTTTTCTTTCAAAATATTCAAACGGGTGCCTGCAACAGATGAGGTGGCAGCAAACACCCAAAATCCAAGGCAACCAGCACTGGAACAAGCAGCTGAAAGAGGCCAGGAAGAGCCAAGAGGTTGCCATTGTGTCATCAGAGAGATATTTGGATCCAACTGATCATTCCCTTTCTTGGCATGGGCATGCCCTTGTGGGTGCTGCCAAGAACCAACAAGAATAATGAACGAAGTGTTCCAGGAATACTGTGATACCATGGGGCAACCAGAGGAACATGCCATGCACAAAAATGGGGTTGTGCGATCTGCTGGCAGGCAGCAAAGATACAGTCTTCCAAGCTTGGGTGGCTGCTTTTATTGTCAGGTAGGTTGGAAACAGCTGTTCTTTGACGTACGGTATGGTTCACTACTTTGCACACTATGGGATGTTTTGCCTCGCTAAGAGAAGAATGATACAATCCACATATCTAGCTAGCTAGCTAGTCTTGCAGTTGAACTTTATGCATTGCTCAAACATGGTCAAAGCCAACCCCCAACATGCAGCACCCATGTTCTGGTGGTACATGTACATGTAGCAGGTGAGGGAGCTGTAGCTGCTGGTTCTTAGTATCGGTAGGCAAAGTGGCCAACAATGGTGGTACCGGTTCATCGCAAAAAGTGGACTGGTGAAGGTCACATTATTTCGGTGCGATTCGACAAATAAGGGACTCATGTTGGTAATTAAATCTTCCAAAGAGGTTAGCGATGCTGTGGTACGGTAAGTGAATCAGAGTTAGAGGGCATCAATGGGACAACGCGAACAACGAGATCCTCGGCTCTTCATCATTCCCGAACAGCGACCGCTGCTGCCATTGTCAGCTTGTCATCAGCTCAGCACAACGGCACAACATCGGAAACAAGAAGCCCTCATTATTTTCACTCTCTCCAGTTGCCGGTAGCTACGAATCAATCTCGTTTCATTATCCCTCTCCTCTCCTTTCTTGCCAAGCCAAGCCAAGCCAAGACACTCCGCTCCAGCAACATCATGTCTACCCACGAGTATCATCAACGCCTTTCGCCTCGCGGCAAAAATGGAAGCATCCGCATGATTGAAGACTATTCGGATCCGTTGCTCATTACTCCCGTGGTAGAAGAGCAAGTTCGAGCCTTCTCTGCTGATGCTGAAACTACCAGCCCCGAGCCCAGAACCAGGACGAATACGCAAGAGTTTGCCAATCTGGCGAATGCTTCTGCTACGAGCCGGTTTTCATTGCAAGTTCCGTTCCTTGGGTCGTCCTGGAGAAACCCATTATCATCCCCTACGAAGAACAACATTAAGGGAAAGAAGGATTGTTGAGGCCGTTCTGACGACAGCAGCGACACTGAACCAAACAACAACTTTTGGAATACCTCTCAAGAGTGATCACCATCTTATGCAACAATCACAGTATACAATGTTGTGTAGAAGAAAGAGGCAGAAGAACTCATGATCTTCTATTGCATGTTTCGGTGGCATCAACACCTACCTGATTGAGATAATTCAATCAATCTATAACCTAATACATATTATTATCTACCATAGCTGTACGTGTCTGATGAACTAAACGCCACCATCTAGTCTCTAGCTACCGGTAGGTAATACAGCCCCTGGATAGCTACATTTCGAGAGATGCATACCCTACCTGGACAAATTTTGGCGGGTGTCTAGCCTCATCTCATATCGATTTTGGTGCATCATCTCCACAAGAGGAAGCGAAAGTGCTCGTCCCTCTTCTCAGATCCCTGCCATTATTAGCCCTCAATCACTGCATCTACCACCATGATGCATCCAACTTGGAAGAGCTCTTGGAGTCATCAGCCTACATGTATAATCTCGCTTCCGCACCTCCTTGCTTGGAACTTGGAAAGTTGGCGATTTTGCAACGGATGGATTATTTGGATCAACTGTGGGTCATTTTGATTTTTGCTCGTTGTTAATTAATAAAATAAGGAAAGGGTTCGTTCGTTCGTGGCTAATTCAAGAAGGCAACGGCAGCAACACGGCACCGTGGTGCAATACAGTACACCCCCAAGTCCCACAATGAGCATGTAAAAGTGCGCTCATCGTTGTGGAAAGCAACCGGCAGGGACACATCTATAGCAGGGCCACTAGCTAGACTACCATTAGCTACCGTAGCTAGCTAGCTCACTACAATAGAGGTTGTTTGAGTTCTCATCAGTCGAGACGGTATTCCATCCAGTGCGACTACTGTACGAGACGAGACTCAATAGCCTTCAAAGTGCGAAGCCTCCTCGGTTCGCCGAAAGAAGGAATACAGCCAACACCTCTTCATACCAACACACACCAACACACAACACCAACACAATCAAAATGCCCGCCAACTCGTATTGCATGCTAATACTGGGTATCATGGTGATTGCCTCGATTGGATTCCTTGCCAGTTTTGCCACCTCCTGGAGTTTGGTCGATGTACAGTACGCCTTTACTCCTGCTGTGGCGTGGATCATGGTGGGAGGGATAACTTCTACGAGTGCCATTATAAAAATCAAACTACCGTTGGATGCGCATCAAGGCAACGTCTTGTTGTATCTCAGTCCCAACAATGACGAATTTTCCATACAGTCACGACAAGAGTACAATTTGGGAGATACTATTAGCACAAGTAGTGAACTGGAATCACAATACGGTCTACAAACACTCCAACTCACCGAGTTGTTACCACAAACCAAATACTACTACAAAATACAAGGGGACATGATATTGGACGAATACGAAGAATTGCTCGTCGGCACATTCGCCACACCCGCCAAAGAAGGCACACGCTTCAACTTTACCATTGCCGCATCGGCATGTGCATGGACGGGATCCCGGGCAGCCGTCTTTTCCGAAATTCAAAAAGACAATCCTCTCTTATTTTTGCACATGGGAGATTTCCATTATGCCGATATACACGAAAACAATCTGCAAAAACGAATCGATGCCATTAGTCAAGTACTGGCATCCGATACACAGTCCGATCTCTACAAGAGTACCGCCATTTCCTACATGTGGGATGATCATGATTTCTTGGGGAGTAGTAGCAAGAACAGTGACAATAGTGACGATGGGGTAGAGGAGGAATATGAGGAGGGAGCATGGGAAACGGCACTTCTTTCGTATCAAATGGCATTTCCCCATTATCCATTGCCTTCCTTGTCGTTCAAGTTGAAGAGTGATGGTGATGATCAAACAGTTGATACAACAACAACCAATACAACTGCTGCTGTTCTTGGGAACCAAACAACTGCGACTGCTGAGACAGCCGACAACCAGCTCTTGCCAGTACCCGTCTATCAAGCCTACACCATTGGGACGGTACGATTCATCATTTCCGATCTACAGAGTGAATCCAAATCCAACAGCAACAACAATCAATCCAGTAGTATCTTTAGTGACACACAGTCCCAGTGGTTGCGACAAGAACTCAGCCAGGCACATCTCTATGACTTTGTCATTTGGGTCACACCAAAACCATGGATTGGACCTGCAACACCGGGGGAAGATCAGTGGTATGGGTATCCCAAAGAAAGGGCAGAATTATCCACATTTATCACGGAAACACTGGGAATGGACAATGGACCGCAAAACTTGTTGGCCATTGCGGGAGATGCACACATGGTAGCATTTGATGATGGGACCAATACATACTATGGTAGCAACAGCAACAACAACCGCAATGGTACAACAACAACAACAGCTCGGTCCTTTCCCATTTTGCAAACGGCATCATTGGACCGGGTGGGTGGGATCTTGGGGGGACCCTTTACAGATGATTGCTATGGCTATACATCCCAAAGAACACATCAGTTTAGTGTTTTACGATTCGAATTTGCCGAGGGCGACAACAACAACAAATGCATTCTCATTGATACGTACAGCAATGATCAATATGGTAAACAAGAACGAAAGTTGCTCTTTTCAAAACGACTGTGCAACAAAATATTTGTTGATGCTGTCGTGGGGGACGAGGCAAAAGTTGGTGTGTGCGAATTGGATGAACTCTGGGAACTCAATGACAATATTGCAGTTGCCGCCAGTGCCATCCTCTTTGCCACCATGGTCTTGAACTGTATCGCACTCAACAAGTCGGATGCTGACAACTTGGGGGATTGTCTCTGCAAATCATGTGGGACCACCATATTCTATCTTGTCAGTTATGTGTTAACGGGCCTGGTCGGATTTGGCACCTTTTTTGCACGAGGTGTGGACCAGGCGGATGTGACCCCAGTGCTGATTGCTGTTCTGTGTCAATCCATCATGTGGTTCTTTTATCTCTTCATTTGGTGGGCATGTTGTACCCAGAGCAAACGACGCAAGTTGGGACAAGATGATCCAGGGTTTCGGGATGTGGAACCCAATATCAACATTAACATTTCGGATCTGGAGTCAACCCTCATGCATGACGCCAATGCCGACCAAAATAGGGGACATACTACGTGCGGCCAAAACCAGACTGAAAGCTCGAACAACAACAACAACAATAGCAACAGGGCTCCAGGGACAATTCAATTCAATGGTCCGCCCGAGGCATTGTAGTCTGGGCGTGACGTGGGTGGGTGTGATATGGTCGGGAAATGCCAGGGAAACAAGTGCGCGTTGATGTAGTGTAAAACTAGCTATTGTGTTGTTGTAATCTATGCATTTGTCAGTCAGTGCGGGCACAGGACGAAGAGACGATGATATTGGTGAAAGACAGCATTTAGGAACGTCATGCTATTCCTTACGGTAGAGAAGACAATCTACCCATCGTATTCCAGGGAACAATCCACCCAAGTGCAACCTCGGCGAATGGCAGCACTGCAAAAATGATGTGCTTCCATTGAAATGCAAAAGACATCGCCATGACTGACACTGAAAACCCTTTCGTAGCCTCCTTTGTCCGACCGATACGTCCGCTGATAAGCAACGCCTTCTTCGTTGGCCCTTTGAAGCCCTACCGTGCCTTCTGCATGGGCGAGAAAGTCACTAGAACGCAACAATGACAACTTCAGGCGACCTGCCCTCTGAATCGTCAGAATCAGTACTTCAGGAGAGTGAACCTGAATTTTGAAAGTCTCTTTCACGCTGCCGGTCACTTGCAGCACATTTTGTCGAGCATTGATCTTCAGGCTTAGAGCTTTCAGAAGAGATTCAACAAGCGCATCAACAACGCTCGAGAAAGCGTCTGAGGAATCCCAGTCCGAAGTGTATGCCATGGTCGGGAGATCGTTATTGGTCAAATCTAAGCCTTTCTGGGATGAAATCGATGAGCTGAGTCGGAGGAAGTTTGCACTGCTTTGGTTTGCGTCTGGTACTGGTTGTTGGAGTGGATGGTCATTGGCCCTTGCTCTTGCCAAGGCTTGGGCGATAAGAAGGTACGGGCGCAGGTACCGCTTCGAAATTTTCGGACTTTTAAAATAAAACCTTCGGACCAGACAAGGCCATGGTGTAAGGCAAAAGATACCGCAAAGATACCAGCATTACGAGCTGTCATCAGTACGTCGCGATGGTTCCACTTGGTGGTGGTACTTCTGTGATGTTGGACCTTTGTTCTTAAAAGGATGAGCCATGAGTAACATATCAATGACAGCGTCGCTGATCTTGTCTCTATGGTTGATGGAAGCAGGTGCTTTTACGATTGTGAGCATCCCTCCAACGAGGTCGCCCTTTCGAAGTGTTGGCGGATCGGACAAGGTGACAACATCATCATCGCCACCACTGATAATGACAACCAGAAGAACGAGAAAGGGGTCGTCACCTGCCGTTGGAATGGCAAGCAAGAAGCAGTCTAATGATGATAAGGTTCTGCTATTTTCCTTGCTGGATAAAGTGGGCAAGATTGCTACGTCACCAACTCCCTTTCTGGACAACCTTCCGTTGGGGTATCCTTTGGCCATGCTACTGTTGGTGGCGACAAACCTACTCGATCCTGTATCCACTGTTCTTTTCGTTCTCTTGTTTGGAACGTTTCGGTTCGTGGGAGGGACTTTCCAAGAAGACGAAGAGGACGATCCTTCTGATTCACCACCCATCGACTTGTTGGCATTTGTGGCCGCCCTTCTCTCCTCGTTGCTTTTGGCGCCATCCGACATAACAACCACAACAATTATTGTTGATAATACAACTTCAGGCATTGGAGCAGTCCAAATAGGGGGGATAATTGCTGCTGTGACTCTTGTTGCTGGTTCAACTCTATTGAGCAGCGATGATGAAGAAGCAAAGATCCCACCAAAGGTCCCGAAATCTGCGGAACAAGAACGCATGGATCAATGGGATGATGAATTCCGGCGAGCAGCCACAGCAGCACCCAAAGAAGATCAATCCAAACACGACAAAGAATAAAGGAACCTGACAAACCAAATACTGGTAATTGGGTTGGAATCGACAATGCAGTATCAACAGAACACGGAACCAGCTGATTTCAAAGTCAACAGTGTGCAAATCATGTGTTGGCTGCGCCTCTCATTTGGATGTGGTTGTTCCCAATCCACCGAGAAGGAATGAGGCGAGCAAGATACGAATCGACGAATCATAATACATAACTTTCGTTGGTCTACGGGATCCGATGATAGATCCTCCGAACATCGACAAGGCGATCAGAGGGCGGCCCCAACAGACGTAACACGCAATGTAAAAACGAATGCACCGAAGCAAACATCAATCAACTATAAGTTCCTTTCTATTCCTCCCTGATTTCGGATTCAATACTCCGGTGTAGCAGAGCGATTTCAATCTACCGTACTCTCGAATCAATCGAATCAACCAATACACGGAAGGTTTCTCCTTGGCCCATTCCCCCAACGGAGTTGCTCTTTCCAGTCAGTGTTTCGTCGTCGCTGCAACAAAAAAAGGTTGCATATCGTATCGTAGTTTAGTCGCCCTGAGATTCCCGAAGAGCGTTTCGGACTTGCTCGTCTTTTCGTGCTGAGACCTCAGATCGTGCCAATGCATCGTTCACTTGGGCGTCTTCTTCCGCTGCCATTGCCGAATTCTTATCCCATTGCCCATCTGCAACTGGCATCCGAGCTACATTCTCCGTAGCACCGTCGACAAGCATGCCATTATCTTCGTCCCCTTGTTCCGACTTGTACCGACGAAAATCTTCCCGGTCAATCAAGGTCGTAGTGTCGGTAGATATGATTTCCTCCAAGGTATATCCCGAATTGCGAAGGGAGTCAAAGGCTTCAAAGGCAGCATCGAACTCCTTGGTGCCCACCTCGGCCCGCACTTGCTGCAGGAGACGAATGGTCTGGAACCTATGAAAGTAGTCCAAGCAGCGCTCGTCGTCGTCAAAATCCTCATCGCGGGCATTAGCCTCCCAATTCTCTCCCATCCATCCCAGATCGACTTCGAGAATCTGTGTCAAGTACATGGGGCAGCGAGCCGGATTGTACTGCCAGTCTTGATTGTGCAAAAAGATGTCATCCACATCATCATCTTCGTCATTTTCACGGTGGCGACGAGGTGGAGCCTTGTCGCACTGGTGCACGTCGAGGCCACAGACATAGCACCATTTTGTTTCACACTTGGGACAGGTCATGTGGGTGCACGCATCGTCCTTGCGTCCGGCCAACCCGCAACCGGGGCAAGCCATTTTGGATCCCTTTTCCAAAGCTTGTTCCATGGCCGTCTTGACGTGATGAAACCGGAGACAGAGCTCATGACTGTGCTTGGCCGTATTAACGGCGCCCTTTTGGCAAGCCAAAGGCAACGCTTTTTGACAGACCACGCAAGTTCCATGGAAACACACTTTGCACCACCACAAGACCAGAGGAGCTTTCTTGGTGGGAGTGACAATCTCCAAGGCATTGCAGCTACTACACTGCATTAGCTCTTGACCCGGCAACAGCTTGCGCTGTGCAGCAAAGAGTTGGACCTGGAGTTGCTGCTTGGACGTTAGTTGACGCTCAAAATGTCCCAAATCAAAGTGGGCCTTGCACATGGAGCACTTGGGTGGATAAGAGCTCTCAAGATCCGAGAGCACCGACTTGACATAGACTCCGGTACATTCGGTACACATGAAATGGGATCCAGGGCATGCCAAACTACCGGCAGATTCCAAGGCCGATTAGGAAACTGTAAACTCACACTGGCAAATGATGCACGTTTCTTCCTTGTCTTGGGCCTTGTTCTTGCCGTCTTGTTTTCCAAGGTTTCTTTCAGTACCAAGTGATTTGGCAGCGAGAGCACTTGTAGTGAGGCGAATGTGCGTGACACGAAGCACACAGCTTCTCATTGTTGCCAGTGGTTGTGATGGTGGTTGTGTTACCCCACGCCTTTTGGAGAAAGGCAAGGTTGCTAATGGCGTCTTTGGTGTTGGAAATTTTTGGGACTTTGGCTGGTGGTTTCGCTTCCTCCTCACGGTGTTGCCGCTGTGCCGTGGCTCGCTGCATTGCCATTATTGGTCCGTTGCGAGCACGGTCTTCAGCGTAATCTTCCTCTTCTTCTTCTTCCGACGACGAAGAGCAGTCAATGTTATCAAAGTGGCTGTAATCCACAGTTCCAGGGCGTTTCGACGACATCGTTCCAAGTTGTTATACTGACTATCTCCTTGTCTTTGTCGTGCTCTCTCTTCGCTCCTCTGATTATTGGGCTTCCAACGTTCTCACTTTGGTTTGGATCTTTTCTTCTCTCGTGGCGAAAAAGATCTCTTGTGTCAATGAGGGGGTGAATGAAAGGGGGAGCATCATACAGGGGCTTTTCCGGGCTTGGAATCTGTATCCACGCTTCGCACAGAACCTGCATGTTGGTGCTGCTTGCTTTGTGTTTTTTACTTAGCATTCGTTGTCATGTTTTCCGTTGGATCCGTCCTCAGTCACTTGGCGCACCAACTTCGCGCCATACTGGGTCTTCGACCTCCCTCCGACCTCCGACGTTCTCGTTTCAAATCCACAACCTCGACAACTTCATTTATTTCGCAAGCTATCAACTAGTAGTTCGACCATGCCAGGAAGCAACAAGACCCCACGCATCCGCATCAGGCTGAGCAGCAGCGCAAAAAAGGTGACTCCGTCCGTTCTGACTGACATTACTAACCTTCCATTACCTCTAGCTAGAAACACGTCAATCGTCGCGACCGAAAACGAACAGCTCAGAAGGCAAGTCGCTTCGCTTGAAAAGGAAAACGAAGAACTCAGAGTCGCCCTCTATAGCCAGAATAAACGGAGTCTCGACACCGCTTCGAACGGTGAGCCATCAAAGAAAGCTCGAACGACCTCGCATCGCCGCAAACTATTCAAGAAATGGGCCAAAAGCGTGCTTCGTGAAAGCGCCAAAGTCAAGCTTACCACGTACGATTCTCGAAAGACGTTTACGGTCGTCGTCAAGGAACCGACTCCGTGGAGCAAGGAGGACTTTGATGCTATCTTTGAAGACAAAGGCCAGTGTACCCCAGAAAACAAGCCCACGCAGTTGACCACAATTCGTTTCGAGTCATTCGAACGTGTCCAGGAGCTCTTTGGTGGAGAGGGTGTCGAGATTGAGAGAACCGGCTACGAAGCTCGTGCGATGAAAAAACCGCTTTTTGATTCTTGGTACAAGGCTGGTCGTTGGGACGCTATGTTGCAAGGCATGGAAATCCACTACAACAGCATCATGGGTAGCTTGCAGTTGCAGTTTGTTTTGGTCACTGGAAATTCTTACCATGAGTAGACGACAAATTAGAACCAGGAAAAGAGGAGCCCGATCGCGCACGATGGGAGACGGAAGATTCCATGCAATGACACTTTTCGTCTCTGCGTCAACAACCGGATCTTTTTACATGTTTGCATAGACTGATGTTCTTGGCAGAAGGAGCAACCAGTATCACAAGTTCAACAAAGCTTTGTCATCCATCCAATGGGTCCATAGTTCTGCTGCGTTCCCACTGATTGGCCGTTCTCGAGCAGGAAAGAGCGCTCCGGCGAAGGCGGCTGCTCATCATGTGGTGGATCCTGAAGGGTCGCACATCGGGCAAAGCTGGGAGCTTGTCTTATTAATATTATTGTTATTGTTTTTTGTCTTAGACTAGCTACAGCTGTATCGGTAGCTAGTAAAACCGTCCTTGCGCAATATTTTCTTTTTTCAGCAGGCCTGCTGAAAAAAGAAAATATTGCATTTTTCCACGTTCATCGGACACCGGACACAATCCCGACAACCTTGGCACCATGAGCGAATACACGAACCAGCTCCCCGCATTCCTGCAGCTTTTCGAACAAAACATGGAGGAAGCCGCAGAGCAATTCAACCTTCATTATTCCGAATGGCTTCAAGATTGGCCAGCCAATGGACTCCAATTCGATCAGAAGCATCCCGATTGCAACCTCAACGCCATTGAGGTATGTGCCCGTCATAGTGGCGTCGAGGCATTCCAAGCCATCAAACGGGAGCTACCAGATGCCATATCCTATGTAGATGATGAGGGCCGGTCCATTCTGCAATTGGTAGTCAAATGGAATGTAGGCCATGTTGCCTTGGTGGATTACATTCTTCAGAATGGCGGGATGTCATTGATTGATCAACCCTCACCCGATGGCAAGACTCCGTTGTGGACGGCAATCAATGACGCGCAAATACATGTCACCAAGTTGCTCATTTATCGCGGAGCGTCATTGACGCCACCAACGGATGGAAAATTCTCCCCTTTGAAAGCGCTCAAGAAATCCATGTATGTAGCCAGGTTTTTGCGACCTCTTCGTCATTGGCTGGTAGAAATGAAAGAGAAGATAGAAAGGTTCCCCTCTGAGACGACTCCTCCTAAAAAGAAACAAAAACTAGTAGAGATGAAACCCGCATTGCCAGTGGGGGAGGTAAGGCTATGTTCGTGATGGGATGTTGGACTATACGGTAGGAAGTGCTCACCGCTCACTTGCCCGTCCTCGTCTCTTTCTTTTGGTTGCAGGATCTTGTCCGCCATATTGTTTCCTTGCTGTCCCTCAAAGAATGCGCCACTCTGCAGTGTGTTTCTCGTTCCTTCCAAAAGGTGTGTGCTGCTCTAGGCTTGACCGCTACAGCGTCCTCTTGGATATCCTAGATACGTATCATCCGCTTCTCAAATTTGGCAAAATGAAGGATTATAGATACTTGCGACTTTGTTTTCGCGCAGGAAAAGATTTCGTTCAGGCAGCTCCCTCGATGAAAATGTACGCGAACATCCAACTGAGCGCAGAGGAATTTTCCATACTCCACGGGGGCAAGGACTGCTATGACGAGGCACCGGTGTGGTATGATACTACTACTGAGATGCAATTGGTGTTTGGTGGTGCGCTTCGATTACGCGTACCCAATGAAAACTGAACTAGAACAACCAACTGGAGCTTGTCGAGTAAATATATATATATGTTGATAGCAATTCAGCCAGTCAGCGATCCTGATGGCCTGATGGTAACCAAGTAGAATTACAAGATTGGTAGAACCAGTTCTCTGGACTCTAGCCGGGACTTTATACATCTCTCGATGGTACTAGCTAGCAGGTATATGAGGACGACCTCAGTCCTCTTGTGGTGCAATAAGATTGAGAAGCAATGCTCTTTGCGGCCCATGGTGCGTGTGCGACCGTGGCTTTTGTGTGTGAACAGGCGGATTGGGAGAATGAGTTTGAGGCTTTCATGACCACCAACACTAACAATGAACGCATAAGCCAAGCGTTTTACTTCAAGGGGCGGGTTTGCCATGAAAATTGCCCACCAGGATGGATGTCGGTTTGGCTTTTTCCTTGCCCTCGATGCTGGATTCTGTTGGTTCTCTCTCCGACAGGAAATCTCGGCAGTCTCCAAGTGTGGCTCTCACCGATCATCATCTGATAGCAGTCGCTAACATGCTGTAGGGCTGCATGCTTAGCAAATCGTGCATGGAATGTAGATTGAACTGGGCGCAACTCGTCTCGTGGACTCTTAAGCTGCGCCACAACTCCGCTTGCTTTCGTGCTTTGACATGGCGCCTCGAATGAAGCATCCTCTGGCTTCAGTGACATGCCAGCTTGCATCCCAGGCCGGGCCAGGCCAACACTCAAAAGCTAGCAAGGCCTTGCCCAAATGTCGGCCAAGGAGTGTACCTTAAGCTCAATGGTACAGTATGCTTTCTGGGTATTTGCAATCAAGAAATTTGTGGATTGGGGTACTTTCGAAAGAGTTGTTGTTATGTCTCCACGACTGGCTACACATTCATCTCCCCCCTTCCATCAAAAGATGGCACAGAGCCAGCGACCCAGTGTAGCATAGCATAGTCACAATAGCTCCTCCAAGTTTGGCAGTCCAAGTGCCCCCACGTGTTTGCCAAAAGTGATGCAGCAAGACTGGTCCCAAGATGGCTTCTGCCGGCAGAACGTAGACTGCCACATGCCCCAGAATCCGATGTCGCACCCGATCGGTACACCGCCATAGATCGAGGAAATAGAGCAGATACTCGGAAGACCCAAAGATGAGTAGGGAGACAAGGGCACTCCTCCAGTAACCACCAACACTTCCAGATGATGATACTGCTGCTGTTGCTGTCAAAATCAAGAAGAATGGAATGGCCCACATTCCCGCCATATAACAAGGAACAGCTTGCCCAATACTCCAAACAACGGCAACTCGAGCGGAATCAGTACCCCGTGTTGGAAATTCCAGAGTCTGGAGGGATTTGACAAGGAACCAGTCGGGCAGTACTTGAAAGATACTCGTGAGGGAAGAAAATGTATACATATCCCACAACAGCAAAGAACTCTTGGTACCGCTGCGGAACAGCATATTCCAGAGCATTCCAACATGCCATCCGATCACAAGGGCAAGGACCATGCCGTCGCTGGTGGAAACCAGTAAAAGCGATCCTAACGCAATAACTGCAAAATAAAAGTGATACCGAATCACATAGCCTGTTGTAGTTTCCTTGCCATGCAGGGCAGCTTTGGGAGGGGTGATCTTCATCTTCTTCTGTGATCGGGACGGTTTTGATGTTGTTGTGGTTGGATGCAGCTTGTGCTGGTATCTTTGCGGTGTTCAGTTCACGGTTCTCAATTTTCTTCTTTACACCGGGGTCCCAGCTGATCCATAAATCAGACACTCTCCACGGTGCCGACCACGTTCGGCGCAGAGCAAAGCTCCAGCCGAGTGCAACTTGTTGCGGTAGCTTTGCAATCTCGACGGAGCAACCTCGACGACATCGGAGTTCGCCACGATCCCAAAGAGAGAGGAGGATTCAGTAGCAATCACCCACGATTAGTCCGTTGATTGCAAGTCTGAGAGTCCTGTGGCTCGCCTTTCGCAAACACTCCGGTCTTGACTGGACTCTTTCGTTGCAACATTTCGTCCCCCGATTTGTTTGTTTTCATTCAAGCTCACAAAAATTTTCAGATTTGCGATATCATCCACAAACACTCGATCCGCAGAAAGACAGAGTATCGAACCATGACGAGGACTACTAGAGCTAAAAAGAAAGATACTGGTATCAAGTCCGAGGACAAGCAGCCTGTTTCTGTCAAGAAGGAAACCAAGCACAAGATTGTCAAAGATGAGGAGATTGTCAAAGAGAATGACGACGCTGCGATCTCTGTGCCGTTTGAAGTGGGAAAGTTCCACAAGATGGCTCTCCTCAAGCTGCTGTTCTGTCACCACAGCGGCCAAGAACTGACCTACAAGGAGCTCTCGGATGCGATGGGGGTTGGCGAAAAGACCAAGGCTTGGCAATGCGAAGCATGGAGGGACTTGAAGAAAAACGAGTACATTGTCCCTTCTGGAACGGACAAGAAGCTCAAGCTCTCCGAAAAGGGCGTGGAACTGGCGACAAGCTTTGCCAGTGACGAGGAACTGGCCGACTACAAGATGCCGGAAACCAACGAGGAGCATCACGAGAAGATCAAGTCCAAGCTGATGCGGCAGGACAAGGCCAAGAAGATGGGCCCCAAGATTTTTGATCTCCTCGTTGAAAACAAGGACAATCCCATGACAAACCATGAGATGGCGGCCAAGTTCAACACGCTGGCCGATTCGCATTCCTTCTTTTATGGCTTTCAAGGTGAGCAATTGAGATACTAACTTGATTCGTGCCATATCTCATCAATCATTCCCTGAAATCTAACTCCTCTTGTTTCGTTCCAATAGCTTTGAAGAAGATGGGATTGGTGGAGACCACCGGAGAGTCCAAGAAACCCGATGAAGAGCCCATGAAAATCGATGAAGAGGAGCCCAAGGAGGAAGAGGATGCCATCAACGACGAAACAACTGACGGAGATGACAAACCCAAGAAGAAGAAGAAGAAGAAGAAGAGCAAGAAGAGCATGTCTGGTGGTAAGCTTTGGAAGCTCTCTGAGAAGGCCTTTCTAGTGACGGCGAAGGAGAACGCCCCAGTCAAGTTGGACGAAGAATGAGTGGCAGGCACATTATGGTGGAACTATTATATAAGAATGGAACGTGGCGAAGCAGGCAGTGCGTATTCTTCCCAGCAGGGCAGAGCTTGGATAAAGTGGCAGTAACATCATCTATTATTAAGAGCCCACATTTGCAATTCCTTGACTTCATGTATGGGCCGAAGAGTGCCAGATGGGAGGAGCGAGCTCAGATATTGAAACTAACGTGGATGAAGATGTTCGTGTAGTTGGTGGGATGGCAGGTTGAAAGGAACACCGAGCACCAAGATACTTCCTCACCAGCATTTGCTAGGGATTTTCAAGTTCGTCCCCGTTCCTTCCTACGAGCGATGACTCTCGATCCACATCGTTGAATTCATGGTCCATGACTTGAAACGTTGGTTTCTCATCTTCCATCACAACTGCCACCAACGTGTCGCCATCGACCCACGAAAACAATCTGAGTGGGGAGCCTGCAACTTGTCGAGTGGGATTCTCTTGCAACTCGAATGAGGGTTCAGCATCAAACGAGCCAGAGTTGTCCACCCAACTCTGGAACTGTGTCACCCCATTCCCAAAGGAGCGCATTGTGCGCAAATCATCTCCAAGAAACACCAAGTCAGAAAACCCATTTGCAAGAGTTGTACTCAGCCGACGTTTGTTGATGGTATCAATCATGGCTCCGGAACCCAACACAGCAAAACTCCCATCAGGCTTGACACGAATTGGTGGAGACGAGTCAGGAATGATTCTCAGTGATTCCTCAATGAAGCCCACCTCAGAGATACCGATATCGTCAAAGTTCCCAAACCTGGATATGAAGGAGATTTTGCGATTGGCGTGGTTCCAGACGTATTCATCTGAAGTAAGATGGCCCACACCTCCTTGCGAAAGGAGTGTTCCATTTGAGGCGAGCACAGCACCCTCGTCCCAGGGCCACGCAAAGCTGACAAAAATGAACTCGCCTGCTGTGACCATTCCGTCGGGAAGACCGGGAATGATCGCAAGTGGATCTTGCGAATACGGGGGACCTGCAGCTAGATCGATTCTCCGAATAAGACCAGTTCCAGCTGAGGGCCCATCAGTTGGATTCGCCCCTTCGGGACTTGCCGAAAAGGTATAGATTTCATGATTGTCGGGTGAGTAGGCAGCGAACCGGACATCTTCTTCGATCAGAGGAATTGTGGCCCGATACTCTTGTTCTTGCACATCCCACACAAAGATGCTTGCTAGCGCAGCAGAAAAGAGGTACAGCAGGCCATTTTTGTCAAGGAACATCGAGTCTGGAGTATACACCAAGCCATTCGGCTCCAACGGCGAACGTGGCTCGTCAGGTTGAAGGGAACCATATTCGACTTCGTCAACGTGAATGCTTCTCGACACATTCTGGTTCACTGCTGGCGTGAAGGTCAGAAGGCTGTTTCCGGCGTCATCAATGACACGGAACCCCTGGGTGCTCTCTCCAGTGTCCGGAAACGAAACAGCCAGAGGGCGTTTGCATCCTCCACGCCATCGAGATTTCCATGATATGGACCATCATCGGTTTCAAGTAAGCTTCCTGCAGCCGAGTAAGAGAGGGAAATCATGTCTTGGGGGCTGTACCCCTGGTCCCAACCAATGATTCTTCTATTGACTCGGTCTATGGCAGTATGAGGCCGAAAAGCCGTTCGACCCCAGCTGCCAGTTCCATCAAACTTGTCAACTACTTCCAAGGTGACGCGATCCACACAAGCAAAATAGCCAACAGATCCCCCAGAGTAGTTGATGAAGATCAAGTCGTCATGTGTTTCAAAACCAGAAATTTGCAGCTCCTGCCCATCTTCACTTAACTCCTCGACCACAAACAGGAGGACCGCGTCATCCCCGTCCAAGTTATACTCGTACGCCAAAGACCCAAATCCAACAAGCAAGTGTTCATCGTCTGCCTTGAATGCTGTTGGTGTCTCGGGCAGCACAATGGTAGGCAAGAATTCCATGGAAGTGACATTGAAGCGTTCAATCGTGTCGTCGTTGTCGATTGAGCTGTTGTTGTTGCTGGGATTTGAGGCGTATACAAAGTAGACTATTTCCTCTGTGTTTTGCGAGAATAGCCAAGAATTGTTCGAGGGAAGCGGAGCAGATTCAACGTCGGCAGCGTAAGAGAATTCTGAGGTGGTGCTGGTATCCGATGTGGTTGTCTCTGTGATATCCTGGCGGGTACTCGTTCGTCGATAAAGCTCTGCAAAACAGTTGGGCTGGTAAGTTGAAAATCCACATAGGGTGCATGACTTTGAATTGGTCCAGTAGACTCATGTGGGCAACTCACCGTCCGAGAACGCCATCGAAGGGACCATCCAAGTCAGGAAGAGAATAGAGCATAGAATTGCTCCTAAACTGTTGGCTGTTCGTTTGGGCATCATTGCGCTAGATGTAGCGGAATTATCCTTTCTTCACGAGGATGGAGGAGCACAACTGTCAACTCTCCCTCATCTTTTTGAAGTCGGTTCGGTTCCGGTTGCGGCGCTGCGAAGGCGAAGGATCACTGGGGTCGGTACGGTGGTCCTGCCAAGGAATGGTTTAGAAAACGTGGATGCACGGGCAGTCGCGAGTGGCATGAAGTACCGCGGTGCTTTAACTCCTCACTGCTCTCATCGCTGGCCTTGTCTCGGGGTACAGCCAAGTTGTAAGCCACTAGACTTTCAAGGGCAACTCTAATGTGGACATCGACGTACCGACGAGGACTCGACGAAGAGATCCATTGTGTTTCGACGCCGACATTGCTTTGTTCGGTGCGACAAGTTGCTTAACACACGCAGCACATCAAGGTCGCCCAAGATTGGACTTGGGTCCAACTGCGGCGTAACTTTTGTTTTGTTTGAACTCTCGCTCGCGAAGATCATACCAGGTGCTACCGGTAAATGTGCACCCCATACCGGTAACCTTGATCCTCTTGCATGTCACAGATCGTACACGGCTTGCATATACACGAAAGCTATGCCGGTTTTGGATACCTGCCCACCGTCCAAGCTTTTGGAAGCTAAACCCGTGTCGTATAAACCCTTTCTTGCTTTTTCGGTGATAGCTACAAGGTGCGGTGACATCCCTGTTTCTGCTGCTCTGATTCAAGGTTCATGTCAGTTTGCAAAGCCTGTTGTTGGATTGCGGTTTCGTCGAAGTTGCATCCACCTATGCTCAAAAGAGGCAATTCCTCTGTGAGCCGGAGAGTTGTGTTTTTGTTCTCATCCAAAAGTTTCATCGCTGAAGCCAAACCTCCATTTCCGACGTACACGCCTGCTTTGTTCCAGATACTCTGGGAATTAGCGGGTGTGGTTGCAAACAATTTCATGACTGCTGCCATGGAGAAGTAGTCATGTTCCCTTTTTGGTTGCAATTTCCAAATTGTATCAGATTTTTCTGCCTCCTCGATGTCTTCGTGCCGCTTGCCATCCTTGTGCGGTAGCTGAAGCCCTTCTGGGTATGCTCTAGGACAACAAAGTCCAAATCCACAATATATCCCGAGCTCAATAGAGTGGCTAGCCGAATGTCCCCATGAACATGACCTCCAAAATGCAGCGTTTGGAGTTTCTTCAGAATGCTGTTGAAGGACGAGAGACCGACCTTGTTGTTCCAGTCGCTTTGGAGGCATTTCGTTTCCACAAGATGCAGCAGAGGTTGATTGTCATGTGATGTCCACAGGTGCGCATCTTTGTCAATCAGAGAACGGACCAAGTTAACGTTTGGATTGCGGGTACTGTAATATTCGCACTGCTATCATATGCCTTGACAATCTTGTTCGTGTCCTTGACACGACCGACAACAGGACCGAGTCTCTTCCAAACTGATTCAGGGAATTCGGATAGTGTCCCACAGCCGCCAAGAGACCCAACGCCACTTGAATAATAGCAGGAATTCCCGTACATGATGCTCTTTTCCCGACGACACGGGCCCGATGCACCTTTAAACCTCGCGGAACCAAGGAAAATGCGGCAATGCACCAATGCACCATTCCGAAACGTACAGGTTTAAACTCGGTTTTGGTCCATCGCTTTGAGACATCAGCGATACTATAGCCAAAACAGTACAATATCGGAAACCTTCTGTCTCACTCACTATTTACTGAGTTACCGGGACTCAATGTTGGACCAAAATATTTAAGTAACTCACAAAAAGTATAGCAAAAATGAAGCACACATTTAATAGAGAGTAGATTATGTTAAATCATGTGGTCAGTATGGGTAACATGCTATGAGTCAATGGTACTTGAGGTCGATTTCGTATTGATCTACTTAAGGGTCAATCGGACATTGAGACAGTCATTTGCTTATAGACGGTTTTGGTCCATTTTTGGGCTGTAGCGCTGGTACACTTTCTACGTGTCTCACCCACTTCCTTTATTAAACTCGAATTTCCCCCCAGTAACGCTGATGCCAATACATGGCTTTCGATGAAGATTATGAATGTTGCCATATACATTTCTGTCTCCACGTCCAGGTCTCTTGCATTGTCATCTGGTCTGTACTGGACGGCTGCTAAGCAGGAAGCTCTCAGTGAAGCATGAATGAACTAACCAACAAAGAGAATCAATGGAAAACTCCACAACTGCCTCATCTTTCTGAATCTTTTTGCTTTTCAGGAGTTGGCGTTTCTGGTTCCTCCTCGGGACTTCTTGTAGTAGCTGTTAAAAAGGCGAAATCTTTGCTGTTGACGTTGTGCACAATTTTGTGTTGATGGGTCACAATGATGTCACGTGTGCTCTGGTGCGGCTTCTTCAAGAGCGCCATCTTAGCAGCTCTGATGCTACTGCGGATTGTGGACTCTGATGCTACTGCGGATTGTGGAACCTCCTCCCCTTTGCAACATTCCGAGAAAAGGGAATTGGGTCTACAATGTTGTAGAACCTTGGACAGACAGATCCTCCAGTTGTTGTGTCACTCGCTCGCTGAATCGAATCAAATCCGCATCACTGCTGTCAGGCTCGCCGTGATTCTTGTTCGCGATCGTATTTCGTGCAGCCTTGCAATGGTGAATTCAATGTACAATGGTAGAAGCACCCTTGTACGGATCTTTTCCGACCAGCTGATTTCGACAACATTTTAACTTTGTCAGAGTCCTTGGCCACTGCCGACACGCTGAAGATTATCATTGGTTTTGTCAGTGCCTCATTCTCTGCCTTTACATTATTTGCCAATTCTTTTTTGAGGGCCAGCTTCTCCGTGTCCTTTTGTGCCAGCTCCGCTTTCATGTAAACCCAATACTCTTTCATGTAAAAAAAAAGCTTGCTCTTGAGTCGTCATCTGCTTGAAATCATCCCTCGAATAACATTCCTCCCAAACTTGTTTATTCATCTCAATGCCCACGACGTCGGCTACTTTTGTCTTCGCCTGATCCATACTTGCTAGTGGCAACAGAAGTTGTATGATAGTATATTAATAGTGTATTCACAGAAACTATTGAGCTGAGCCGTGTCTCCACAAACTCAAAGACGACGACTGTTGCGGGTCACGGACTGCTGCTTCCATGATGTTGCCTGTCGCCGGTTCTTTATTCTACAGAGTAGGGACTGAACCCGTGAGTCACTTTTTCACTCTGTCGCGGCGGGCCATCACATGGCATGCACTAATAAGCATCAAAGCACAACCGCGAAAACCAAAAACATGTCTGAGCTGCGAAGCTCTGTGGACACAAGACCAATTTCGCAGCGCCCAATAGTATAATACCGGATCTAATGTGGCTAGTCTAGTAGCTAGTATCCATTGCCATGGCGTCAACAACCAAGACTTCTGCTGCTACAACCGAGGACCAGACATTTTTCCATTTCAAAGATGTTTGGGTCAACAGTATCTTTCCATTCGTGGGTATGGGGCAGTATGCGTTTGTTGGAGCTGTCAACAAACAATTCAATCGTCTCTACAAGGAATACTGTAGCACTTTGGAGCACCCAACGAGGGTGGTGGAACATGGGTTTCCTGGAACTACAATGTTGGAACGATTTGCAACCGACAAGGATACCTTCTATCGATAGTGCTATATTCTACAATGTGGCCTGTTCCGAATACTGGCTCCGTTTTCACCCTCGCGGTCGACATCCACTGTTTCAACTGGTGTGCGCGAAAATTGCCACAATCGGGAGTCTGCCCATGCTTCAGTGGGCTTTTGGTAGAGGATTTCCGTTGGAGGGAACTTGCCCTGCTGCTGCGGCCGCTGGCCATTTGCACATTTTGATATGGGCCATCGAGAATGGCTGCATTTGGGATTTATGGACCAGCAATTTGGCCGCTAGAAATGGACACTTGGATCTTCTACAATGGGGTATGACCAATGGTTCCCCATGGGATGAAGCAACATGCTCTGAAGCGGCTGCAGGTGGCCATTTGGAGATCTTAAAATGGGCGCGTCTGCATGGCTGTCCGTGGGACACAAGGACCGCCCAAGCAGCTGCTAGAAATGGCCACTCGGAGATTCTGCAATGGGCTCTGGACAATGGCTGCCCAATATCTGATGTTAGGCGATTTTGGGATCATGGCGAGCAATTGTGTAGTTCTGCTGCTGCAGGTGGACATTTGGAGATCTTGAAATGGTTGAGAGCCCGTGGGTGTGCCTGGGATGCCACTGTTTGTTCCCAGGCTGCCAGAAATGGACATTTCGAAACTTTAATATGGGCCCATGAAAATGGATGCCAACACAACCAATCAACGTGCTCGGGAGCTGCTGCAGGTGGGCATCTTGCCATTCTAAAATGGGCTCACAGAAATGGCTTCCCGTGGAATTCAACAACATGCTCGGAAGCTGCAGCAGGTGGTCATTTTGATGTTCTAAAGTATGCCAGAGAGAATGGCTGCCCAATGGACGCCAGAACAAGCTTGGCAGCTGCTAGCAATGGAGATTGGGACTTGCTGAAATGGGCTCACGAGAATGGATGCCCATTGGATGTCAACATTTGTTCTCTTGCTGCGCAACATGGGAACCTTGCAATCCTCGAATGGGCTTATAAGAATGGATGCCGATTGCAATTCAACACATGTTCTTTTGCAGCTCAAGGTGGACATCTTGATGTGCTCCAATGGGCTCGTAAGCATGGATGCCAATGGGGTCTAGGAACATGCAGAGCAGTGGCAATGTGCGGTCGACGGGAAGTGATGAAGTGGGCCCAGCAGAATGGCTGTCCTTGGCAGTGGCATGATTTTGTGGAAAGTGCTCGCAGAAGTGGCGCTGGAGAGGATGTACGTCAATGGGCTAAAGACGCTGGCTGTCCGGAGAGGTACTTGTCTTGATTACAATTAACTTATTGAATACATGCCCCCCGATGGGTTATGTTCTAAGAGTATATCTTTCAACGGTATTGTGAATCCACGTTCTAGAGGGATATCCGCAGCGGTACTTGTCTTGAATTTGCTGCATCTTTAATGTGGAAAATCATTCGATTCTGTAATCCGCTGCTTTTGTGATGGGTTGGCCGGCCCTGTTGGGCTTTCGTGCTCTAGGTAGCTAGCAAATACCCAGGTGAGTCCACTACGGTACTACAATCCCTCGCACCTCCAAGCATCAATTCGAGTTTCTTAATGTGTGCCTTCTGACCTTTTTTTCGGACTGCGAAGGGACCAGAAAGCCTCACCGGTACCTGGTACCGATAGCCCGCACCTTGCACCCACCGTAGCTCCTTCGATCGTGAGTGCATCAAGACTGAAGCTGACGTCAGTCTCATCAATGTGACTTCAACTCAAAAATCGTCGAACCAAGAAAAATCTCTGCACTCTGCAACCTCCACGTTGAGGTTTGAGGTCCAAGATGCTTGTCTCTTGACACCTTTGTTGAGTCCACTACAGAACTGGAACATCTCTTATTGCATCGCAGAAGTCTCGTTTTTGCTTCAAAGATACCCCACCTGTGCCTCTCTTGCTTTTTAATCAACTTTCTCCTACCACCATGAAGACGACACCTCTGATTGCGACACTGTTGACCATGGCGGCCCAGATGACGACGGCCTTTGTGAGCCGAATGCCAACACCGACCACTAGATCGAAACCCTTGCACATGTTACCATCGACAACAGAGACGATGCTGAGCCACGCGAATAACTTTTGGGTGGCCACGATTGACGCCGATATTGCCAAGATTTCCGACAATGAGTTTGCCCCTATTTTTGCCGGAGGTATCCTGGTCATGTTTGGTGGCGTCATTTCGGCATTGATTGTGGGGGCCATTCTGGATAGCACCAATTCGTATGCCGAAGTCATTGCCGATTCGTACGCGCAATCGGCCGAAGACGAAGAATTTTGGAAGGGACTCTCGGAAGAAGAACGCAAAAAGACACAGGAATTACTGCAGAAAATCAAGGAAAACAAAGAAGGTGGTGCACCAGCAGCGGCACCTGCTGCTGTCGATACCACCATTGCCGAGCAAGCTACCGAAGCAATGAGTGCACAAGAAACGACAACAGCAGCAGCAGAACCGGAAACGGCAGCTCCTGCCAAGGCAAGTGACAAGTCCATGTTTAGTGATTACTAAACGTTGTATACAGCATCGAAAGTTTGGGACAAACCATCACAACAACCAATTCACGAACCAACCAGAGGCCATGTTCAAAAGGCAGACGCACATGCATAAAGGGCGCAACCAACGAAAAATTGCAGCGATAGATTTATGATAATCCTCATACGATTTTAGCAAAGAGATTTATGATAACACAATAAATTATGAAATCCAAGGAGCTCTTCTTTAGAAATGGATCATTTGTGACTTGAAGTCGCAGCCTCTGTATGTGAATTTTACAGCATGAGATTCTTTGGTTAGCTTTCTCGCTTTCCTGGCTGATGAATAAAGGATTTGCTGCGATGCCGTGGTTTCGGCACCACACACGGCCCTTCCTGCGTCGTGCCTACTAGAACAAGCTGGCTCTTGCACCAGCAGACCTTCGTTTATGCCTTCTCCCCCCAAAGCACTGCATCTAATAGGCCAGCCACACATGTTCTTCTGGCTTGAGGGCGGTTTTTGACCGATCATGTTGAGTCTTACGCCTCATCTGCGGCAAACAAAAACACCAAGACAATGGTCTTGCTCGCTACCGTACTGGTACGGTACCGTACCAGGTGCTGATTTCAATCTTTCTGCCTCAAGTGGTCTGGCAAGTTGAATCCTATAACTAAATCAAGTTCCATTGCCTGTCGCTGCAACACAAAGTCAGCCCAAGGGTCATCCTACTTTATGCTCGTTTCTGCCGTAGTCCAAGGATTTTAGGTCAGTCCACGTAAATAAAATTCCTCACAATTCCAATTTTCGATTTCTCACAATTCCCATTTTGCCGATTACTCACAATTCAAAGTTTCCGATTTCTGGTTTCACACAATTCTAATTTTGACGCTTTCTCACAATTCTAATTTTGGATTATGGTTTTCTCACAATTAAAATTTTACCGATTCCTCACAATTTCAATTTTCGATGTTTAGATTTCTCACAATTAAAATTTTGTCGATTTCCGATTTCTCACATTTCATACTTTACCTATTCCTCACAATTCAACTTTTGCTGGTTCCACACAATTCAAATTTTCGATTTTTGATTTCTCACAATTACAATTTTGCCGATTGCTCACAATTAAAATTTTGAATTTCTGATTCCTCACAATTACAATTTTGCCGATTTCTCACAATTCCAATTTTGAATTTCCGATTCCTCACAATTTCAACGTTTTCTAGTTCCTCACAATTGCAAGTATTTCTGATTCCTCACAATTCAACTTTTCCCGATTTCTCACAATTACAATTTTCCCGATTTCTCACAATTACAGTTTTTTGGATTTCTCACAATTAAAATTTTGTTTCTTAATTCTCACAATTACAATTTTGTTTCTGATTTCTCACAATTACAATTGTTTTGATTTCTCACAATTTCAACTTTGTTTCTGATTCCTCACAATTCCAATTTTCACAAGATCAAAGCATCCTGTTCGTTCCAGAAAGTTGCAGAAAGCCCTTCACAGTGTACAGTACAGTCGTACCACAGTGAAACGCCGAGCAGTGGTTCCGTTGCGATGAGCACCTTCATTCGTCGTGTTGTCGTGTTCCCTTTCTTCCATCTTCTTCCGTCTTCTGCGTACAGTAGTACTGACCAGTACGTCAGCCATGAACGAATTTCGTCGAACTCTGGTGCGTTGTTTGCCTCTCACTTTTTACGCTTGCCGTTAGTTTTTGCTGGAACCTCCTCAGTTTTTATGTTACCCGTGCTCGGAGTATTGGTCCACCACTCTTGCATTTTTGCCATCCGGAAGCGCAAACCAACAGCAACAACCTGCCTTGCTATCACTATTACAGCTATCTATTACTCCAGATAATAGCAAGATAATAGCAAGATAATGCGATGGTCCGTCCTATTGTAAAGAAAGGGTCCAGCGACCAAGTGGACAATCGACGCAGTATGGGCAAGCAGGGTATGGAATGGAGCCTCCGTTCGCTGCGTCAAATTGACACGAACGCCAAGTACTTTGCATCCAAGTACTACTCGAGTGATTCGGACTCGGGCGACGAATCCGAGCACGGCGCCGATCAGACGGCGTACGATATTTTCAAGGGGAAACAAAAAGACGACAAGAAGGATTTGACGGATCGCGTGGGAGGGGGTGGGGTAGCATTCAGCCAAAACATTGCGGGTAATCTGCACGCTCCGTCGTCCGTGTGGGCCGCCCTCAATGCGCCGTTGCGAACGGGTGTGGTGGATGGTCGCAAAGTGATTTTTGAACTAAAGGAAAATGTCACGAAAAAACCGGCGGCACCAAGATCGGAACGGTTGCAACGATCGCATGTGGTGATTAATGGACATCGATCGTCTTTCGAGACAAGAGTTCGATTGTGGCTCATGAAATTCAATGTCACCAGTCTGTCCTTCATCTACTTTGCGTCCTTTATTGCCATGAATGTCGTGTTCGGCGGACTCTTTTACATTCAAGATGCCAAATGCTGTGGAGACGAAGAATTCACATTTGCCGATGTCTTTAATTTTGCCGTGCAATCTTCGACGACCATTGGATACGGCAGTTTCTCACCGGATGGACATTGGGCCAACTTTTTGGTCGTCATTCTCAGTTACATTGCCACACTCATGAACACACTCTTTGCCGGACTACTATTCACCAAATTTGTCACACCCGTCGTCAATATCCAATTCTCCGAAGTCATGACCATTTGCAATGTCAATGGTGTACCCTGTCTCTCCATACGGCTGGGAGCACCCGATGGACACGGACTCAATCCCATGACGGACATTAACGTACGGCTCACATACTCTTATCAAATTCCATATTCGGATCACAAGGGGGATCGCAAGTTCTTTCGGCAAACCGAAGATTTGCATTTGTTATCCAATCGACAACACGGAATGAAAGAAGGATCTTGGACGCTACGACATGTACTCGATGAATCCAGTCCCTTGTTTGGATTGAATTTTGAAGAACATCCCGCCAACAAAATTTACGTCTTTACACTCTCCGTCGATGCCGTGCAAGATTTGACCAAATCCTCCGTCAATGTGCAGACGGAATATGCCGTCGATGATATCATGATTGGACATGCCTTTGTCAATTTGGTCGATCATCATCATCATAACAGCAAGGACAGCGATTATATCAATAGTGATGAGCATCGAGATACCAGATATGCGCCCAAACAAATAAAGGACAATCCACAAGTCATTGTTCGCAATTTTGAACGACTCTCCGAAACCGAGCCGTATCCCGTCTGGTATCCGGCCAAGGCTGGGACATATGCGGAAGATAAAATATCATTTTCGACAGCGAGGACGTATTAATGAATGGGTGAATGAATGAATGGAAGGAGAGTTGGTGAGAGGCGCGGAGGGAGAAGCAGGAGAAATTCGGCTAGGAAGGAAGGGTGGATGGAAGGATGGTGGCTTCATAACGGTACGAAGCAGTCCTCGGTTTTGATGATGATAGATATGTGAGAACTGCCATACTGCGAGCTAGAAAGCAGAACGAAATCGAGTCAAGCGTCGGTCGTCGCGACGTTCTTTCATAAAAAATACTATAGATCTTGAGAGCTTTTTGTGTTTTGTCGTCGTCACTGCATTCCTCGCGCGTCGAGTCCTCTTCTCTCTTGGATCAGTGCATATGACAGTGACCATGCACTCTTGAATATTCAAAAACCCAGAGAAACTCAAGCACCAACTATGCATACGGGTATGCTTTAGCTTGTTGGCAAGCCAGCTTGGAATCCTGTACATGGAAGCATCTTAATAACGAGGGTTTAATCTACCGGTACGCTCTGGTGTGAGGAATCTGGAGAATTTGGATTCTTAAGAATCATTTTGTTCTTTTTGCTGATTCTTAAGAATCATCAGGCACCCAGTATGCAACCTAATATACTAGCAATATGGGCTTCATAGCTAGCAATGCTATCCCCTGATACTATCTGCTAACCAACAACAATGTTTGCTGATAAGACAAGTCTTGTAATGATGCATTAGTGCATACCAAAACCATTGCAATGGAGTCTTTCTTGATTTTTACAAGTATTCCCAAGATTCAGCATATTTGCATTGAGGATTCTTAAGAATCATCATAATTTGGAGAGGATTCTTAAGAATCAGCAAATTCCATTCAATGATTCTTAAGAATCAGCATTTTTCATTGCTGATTCTTAAGAATTATCTAGCTTTTTCTTAAGAATCTGATTTTGAAAAAACTGATTCTTAAGAATCATTTGCTGATTCTTAAGAATCATCAATTTCCAAGAATCTGGAAAATTCTGATTCTTAAGAATAGTCTGATTCTTAAGAATCCTTGTCTACCCAGTATTTGATTCTTAAGAATCATAATTTTCCCAAGATTTTTTCCTGATTCTTAAGAATAATCTGATTCTTAAGACTCCTTGTAACAGCTCTCTCAACCAGCGCTTCTGGAGTCGAGTCTGGCAGGATTTGGATCTTTTGTGTCCTCTTCTCAAGTTTTTCAAACTTGCTCTAATGGTCTAGTACAGTGCCTCCTGATAAATAGCAGTCCAACTTGTTGCGACGGCAATGCATACAACGATGAAGGAATCCGAAGGTATGTGGTGGACACTCGCTGCGATAGCGCTGGCAACAATCGCAATCTACTTTGTGACCCAGTTTCGTGCCAAGAAGAAGTTGCCCTCGAACACGATCCTTCCTCCCCACGTGTGGTCTTGGATTCCCTACGTGGGCTCTGCCTTGGAAATGGGAAACGGCGTCGTTTCGTTCATCCGTTCCCATGGAAAACGGTTGCAGAGTCCCATATTCACAGCCACGGTATTGGGTGAAAAGTACGTCTTTATTGCAGACCCGGAACTCTTGACCATGGTGTTCAAATCCAAGTACTCCAAGTACTTGGATTCGTGGTCTCTTTCCAAGACTTTCATGATCCGTGTGGTGGGGGTCGAACCGCACGAAGAGGAAAGCATGTTTGGAGATCGCACCTTCCTAAAAATGACCATGAGACAGATGCATCATTACCTCATGAAACCGGAACAATTGGAGATTGCCCTACAGCGGGTGCAAGGTTTCTTCCGGAACAATCTACCACAACTAGTAGTAGCCACATCGATATCCGACACTACTACTACTTGGGTCTCTCATGATGCCATGTTCTCCATGGTGGTCCAATCGGTGTTCAAAGCTACGGTGGGACCCATCATCAGTGATTGCTTGATTCAAGATGATTCTTATTGTGAAGCTTTTCGCCAATTTGACAAGGGCGTCATTCCGCTCTTCAACAAGGCACCCTCTTTCCTGACCCGTAAAGCACGTCAAGCACGGGCCTACTTATTGGAGACGTTGCAATCCCAGGAGTTCTTGGAACAAGCTTCCCCCATTGTCAAGACACGGCAGGAAACCATCAAAAACTTGTCTCCAGCAGCCTTGAGCAAGACCACGTTGGCACTTATTTTTGGAGCCGTGGGGAATTCTGCCCCCGCTTTGTTTTGGTGCCTCTTACACCTCCTTCACAATCCAGCAGCCTGGGAAGCCTGTCGGGCACAAGTGGAATCGATTCTTGCGAAGCGGCAACAGGACAAGGACGACATTACATTCACAATGGCCGACCTGGACCAAATGACATTGCTCGAATCTGCCTTTTGGGAAACGTTACGGTTGTATCAAGGCAATTTTACGGCACGACGCGTCACGGAGGATTTTGTCATGGAGACTAGCCAACAAAACTATCTCCTTGAAAAGGGCACCCAGCTCATGCCATTTTGGGCCGTCCTGCACCACGATCCCGCGGTATTCCCAAATCCCATGCAGTTCCAATACGATCGCTTTGTCGGCGCCAACAACAAGCCTGTATTTACCTTTGCAAGCGGAGCCACGGTGAACTACTGGCCTGTGGTGGCATTTGGTGGTGGAGAGCACTATTGTGCCGGACGCAAATTCATCGCATACGAAGCTCGGTTGTATCTGGCAATGCTCATGTTGAATTTTGACATGCGACTGGCCGAGGGAGAAACCATTCCAGGAATTGATCGCAGCAACATTGGAGTGGGAGTCTGTCATCCAGACAGAGAAGTCAAGGTGGAGATTCGAAGGAGAGTCAAGGATTTACACAGCTGAAGGTTTACATGGGATGCTGGAGGAGGGGCAGCCTTCTGAGTCAAGTATAATCCATTTGGCGCCATTCAGGCAATGATGACATCAATTTAAAAAAAGTGCCGGAGTGAAGGGCAATCTACGCATCCATGCAATCAAATGCATCTCATGATTCGTTTCATTTGATATACGCCCGAACTACAGAACTACGGAACAGCAAAACAAAATATGAACCATCAGCCATCAAAACCAGAAACAACAATTCATTGCTCCTGCATTCATTCATTTATATCTCTATCAATTAAAACGAGTTGCCACAGTTGGTCTATGAATCCAAAAGCTGTCAGTCGAGCTCTTGAGTGGCAGCCAAACTACTCCATTTTGCACCACGGAAAAGCAATCACTCGGGCATTGATGACATCAAACAATAAACAGGAATCATGAGGACACACCCCATCTCTCACAAATGCATCTCACCCTTGGATAGAATCGTTCAATCATTCATTTTTATAGTTTTTTTTTGTTGACCAGAGATGAAGGGAGAAAGATTCTTAATAAAAAGGTACAGGGTACGCACGGTCCTAAGCAGAATCGAATCGAATTGAATCGAATCGAATGATTCAATCAGCAAAGCTGTCAGCAACAACAACCACCAATCCTACCACCAACCAACCACCCTCCTTACGTTATCCAGACACGGCCGCACACGCCACAATTGTTTGCTGTGCAAGTCAAGTCTGGTTGGCTAAAGTGTCATATAGTTAGTTGGTAGGCTTGTGAATGAACCGACCGCTATCAGTAGCACTACCAGTAGTGTTCAAATTTCGGACGGCTCTTGAAGGACTGCAGCTAGGGTACCAAGCTGGTTTCTATTGGCGTTGTTTTGGCAGTGCTACCGCGAACACGGCAAGCAACACGGAACTCTTTTGGAAGCGTGATTCCGGCACCCAGACTACGAGCCACACAAGGATTGCCAGTATGAGTTCGATCAAAGCTCGTGGTTCCACTTCTAGTACGTTGAGTGGTGATTCTGTGTTGGACAATCCCTGCTGGGGCGATCCTCAACACTGCAGTCTATCCCATCTATTGACTTTGATCCAGCGAGAAACGCAAATTCTGTTGGAATCTCCCGACTACATTTTGCTGAACAAACCTGCGGATTTGCGGATGGATGGAGAGTATCCTTCATCGGTCTTTAAGCTACTGACCTTTTGGTATCCTCCTCCTTCCTTGCAGGGACTGAAGGAGGAAACGTTGTTGGACCAACTACAATCGTTTCACAATCATTCCCAGATTGGCGACAATGAACTACGACCCTGTCATCAATTGGATTATGCCACTTCAGGAGTTCTCCTGATGGCGCGATCGGCTCCCGCGGCTACCTGGGCATCCTCCAGATTTGAGCACCGCCAAGTCCAAAAGACCTATTTGGCCATTCTTCATGGACACTTGACTACCAGTACGCTTGCCGACAATAATCTACCCATCATTCCACAAGACAAAGTCAACACTTTTTTACAACAACAAGAAACTACATATCGAAAGCGACAAAAAAAGACACGCAAAGATACCTTTCAAGGATATCAACCAAGCAATGCCTTTTTGCAAATCTACAAGGGAAGATATGCTCGTCGGCGGCAACAGCAACAACATACAAACAAGAAACGAAAACGTAATGAAAAGCTCACACCTGAACAATGGGACCAAGTCGATGCCGCCTTGCAATTGTCCACTGAACATCAAGCACAACTGGCACAACTCTCCTTTCGAGAAATCAAGAAACAACCCACATTGCTGCAAGGACTGACACGTGCCACAGACTGTTACAACAACTTTTTGAGAGAGGTTCTTCACCGGCCCCAAGATGACGACATCAACCAGAACCATCTACCACCATTATTCCGAGTGCAAGAAGAGGACAACTCTTTTTACATTTATCTGGCTGTGGCCCAAGTGGACCACGAATTTGCCATGCGGATACCAGTCGCACACGAATGGCTGGAGACTACTACAACTGACACCCCCAAACTCAATTTCAAAGTCGCATTGACCAAATGCCACATTGTGCACACGACACACCTCCGTGGTCATCCGGTGACCAAAGTACGATTAGAACCACGAACGGGGCGACGACATCAGTTGCGCATCCATACGGCTTTTGCCGGACATCCCATTGTCGGAGATCAAACCTATGAGGGTCCCAAAGAAAAGAATCCACCCAACTTGTCCTCTCGCATGTGCTTGCATGCCTACACGTTGGGATTGCCACTGCCCAAGAAAAACGGGAAGGATGCGGTCAATGTCAAGAACGATAACAATCATCACGACCCACAGCTACAAATCACTGCACCAGATCCATTTCCCATTTCACAAGAAGGGGACTTAACGATTGCTTCCATGTAGGTAGCAATTTATTGTAGACAGTAGAAAAACAGGATGAAAATTCCACCTTCAGCAATACTAGTTATTCCCTTTTGGTCGCCCGAGCCCTCCACGGCAGACCTAGCTATTGGTCGCCTAATCCCTCAGCTGCAGAAGCTTCCTCTTTGGTGACATCGGCAGGGGCTGCAGGTGCATCATTCTCCTTTTCTTCTGTTTTCTTGTCGCCCTCTGCCATTGCAGCAGTCTCTTCTCCTTTGTTACTATTTTCTTGGTCTCATCAGTTTCGCCCCCGTCCAACTGTTCCAACTCTTGTTGCAAATCCGCAATATTCAAATTCCGTGCTTGCCTGGCAGCCATGACAAACTCCAAATGCTTGCGCCGATGTTGTTTGTAGGATTCCTGCAAGACTTGCGATTCGGCCAAGACAGCTTCTTTGATGAATGCCTGCATTTTGGCATCCGGGGATTCCTTGCCCACTTTGGAAAAGATGTTCTTTTTCTTGAGGCGCGCCAACAATTCGTCACGAGAGAGGGGTGCCACTTCAACCGAGGAGACAGGTTGCAATTTGCCCGACATGCCATGTGGCAATTGCGGGGTGGATGAATGAAATGGAGTCCAAAATTGACTTGGACCGATCCACCGAGATAGGAGGAAATGGCGGGATAGTATGTACTGGATTGAATGTTTTCAAACGCCGCCCCGCCTTCTTGTTCCCCTTGGAATGAAAAAGTGTCCCATGGGTTCGCCATTTTTGAAAAAATTGAATGTGATTGTTGTTGTTGCTGTCAGGATTGGCTGCTGTAGTCCCATCGAGAAAAATGGCACATCCCACGACGTCTCCGGCTCCCCAGCTTTCTCCACCCCAATTGTCTTCCCTTTGAGATTGATGAATTTTGCATCCAGCGAATTGCGCAATCCATAAGACCACTTGTCGCATCCGACAGGTGCTTGCAAATATCCCATGCGATACTCCAACCAATCCGCAAATGACCTCCAACTTGTAGTTTGAGAGGGGTGCTACTTTTCAATTTTTTGGCAGACTCTGGTGCCGTGGTTTCTTCAGCTTTGCATTTTCGACCTTTATTGTTGCCATCATCATCCGCTGGATGTTGTTTTTCGTCCTCCAACGCCTGTTGAATGTGTCGTTGCAAGGATGATCCCAACCGAGCATTGAGTGGCAAACTGGCAACAAGTTCGTGAATGGTCGGTGGATCCAATACGAGCATTTCAAAGTAGTAACATCCCTGTGAGACTCCATGAGTGGCTCACGACATGCGATAACCTCACATTCCACCCTTGAGGGTCAATCGATCTTGGTCAATACTTTTCAGTTGTGGTGCCGAATCTGTCTTGCTCACATGAACAAAGGGAGGACTATCTTGGGTAGCTTTTAACGCCGATGTCGGGTTTGTTCGGGTGTGGGAATTTGCCATGCCGACGAGGAGAGAGATGCCGATAGGGACGATGCCTGCAATATTGTCGGATTGGCTGCTGCAGCTGTGACACCAGGCGCTGAAGACTGCGTCAAGAGTGACAAAAGACCATTCAATTTTCAATTGCAATGAGGCGGCCATTTGCACAGCCGCAGCCAAATTGGCAGCAGCAATGGCTTGAGACGAGAAGGAAGAGGCATCGCTTGGTCCTGTGGGAGCATTGGTCCGTTGTTTGCCAGCCTTGGATTTGCTAGCACTGATGGGGATGTCTTTGGCCGCATCCAGAACATCGGGAGTATCCACAAGAGTTGGCATGCTGGTCTTCTTCGATTATTGCTGCTGATGGAATGGGTGGGCTCTACGAATGATGGAGGCAAAAAGGGGCATCACGGTGAGATTGGTAAAGAGAAACATCCGCACACAAGTCAGTCAGTCACCATAAGATACAGTAGCAGGCCATCAGACAAATGCCTCGTTCTGGATCGACACCGGGGCTTCTCCCACAAAACGTGGGGAAGATTCCCTCCGACTCGTCATCTAAACGATATTAATCACTTGGCTCCTCTTTTGGTGGGGGTAGCAACAGCCAACAACAACAAAGACACTCACTTGTCTGACATGTGGAGTTGAGACGATTCTTCAGTTAGTTGACAGCTCTTGGGGAGCACAATAGTTCATCATTAGAGCTACACTCTGCCAATCCTGTGGGTCCATCGATGTTGTCATCGTCTTGATCCCACTGAAGCGAAAATAGTGAATGGTTGGCCACGATGCGAGACCGTGGGGCTTCGAAGTGCCGTGCGGGCACGTTAGGGTTAAAGGTTACTCCGAACCGCGGCGACAACTACATTTCAACGCTACTACCAGTACTAGCTAGCTAGCTAGTACAACATAAGTAGATCAGAGGCCACACCCAGCTTTTGGCTAAGAAGTGGCCCAAGCCCTTCTCTGTGGTTCCCACCTACATTCCCCCCCTGACTGAGCATTGTCCTTGCTCGTGCAGCTATGATGTGCCTCCATGGTTCTCGAGTCCCTGCTTCTATGATGAGCACTCAGCATTTTGATGAACGTTGTGCTCTTGATCTTTTGGTCCTAGCTTTTGTCCTCTGGTGCCTACCATTCTCCTTTTCTTGCGTTCTTTACCGTCCTTTGGGTGCCATCTCCCAGCTCCCTACCGGTACATGTACCGTGCATGTAAAAGCGTGGAAGTGCTTTGGCTATGGGTGGTAACAAGTCAAGGTTTACGAAATCTTACACTGCATATGTACATGTATTGTCTCTTCCGCTGAGAAGCGCATTTCTGCATCATGTCGACTTCACATTCAGCAATCATCTACCAGTTCTTCGTGGTACCACAGCCACCACAGTAGGCAAAGGATCTCAAATTCTCATCAAACTTGCAACTTTTGCAGGTCCAGTGCTTCTTACCTCCGCACATGCCGCAGAACTTCATTCGATCACTCATCTTGGAACCACAGCAGCAAGTCCACATGCAGCCTGATGACACTGCCTCAGGTTTTGGCTTGTCTTCGAGTTCCATGACAGCAAAACTTTCTGTGCTTGTGCCAGTATGGTCACTCCCGGGCAATGCCCCGTTCAAGGTCAAGGCTGCCTCTTCGCGCTTCTTACTGCTGGTCCTCCTCCTTTCGTTTGCAGGAAACACCGCCGCTTCTGGTGGTGTCTGGAGACGGGCCACCACATCGGGAATCGTTGGACCACGCTTGAGCTCGCCTTGGATCTTCAGAAAGCTCTCCTTGCGTTGCTGTGCCTTGCGGGCACTATTTGTACTGTTGGAACTGCTGTCAAGGAGACTGTCGACAACTGCAACGGCAGAAGAGGAGAGTCTCTTGAGCGTAGAAGAGTTGCGGGGGCGACCTTGTCCAGATCTTCGGACGAGCCCAGGAGAACGACGGTGACGGCGTTCTCTCCTGTTCCTCTCGACAGGCACAACGTGACCGCTGTCACTGTCGGATGCAGAGTTTGAACCGTTGTTGGATGGCCAAATCGGCGTTGAGAAACCAAACTCGTCAAAGCTGATACTGGGCTCACTCAAGTGCATCATCATGCTGTCTTGACTCCTCTTTTGATTGAGGGGTTTCACTGACCGTAGGACGCCATACTCGTTGATGGCGTCTCTCGTGGGGGATGGAAATTCGCTTCGATTCATGGTCGGGTTCGGTGCTATGCTTGCTTTGCGGTAGCTTTGGTAGGGTTGTATGATCAGCAAAAAACCAAAATTTGTGAGCGGGGATCTTTCTGAACTTCAGAGCTTGTGGATACGCGTCGCTATTGGATGCCTGTGCCGTTCTGCCGTTGTTCGAATACATGTAGCAAAACAAAGTCCTAGTGAGCGCCAGTTTAGCCGGACTTTGCGCGATCTTCAAGTAACTACGAGTAGCAATACTTATTTAACAGTCGCCAAGAATGCGTGAACGAAAGAGCTCAAAAAGACCACCGACGGACACCAGCTCTCGTAGCAAAGGTGAACCTCTGATCAGAGAATTAAAATAGATATAGTCTAGCAGAGGCGTGCTGTGAGATCCACAAAAGGAGTCCGCTTCAGTCCTCGGATCTATTGAGGTACCGGTATCCAGGTAGCCTCCCCTCTCCCCTCCTCTCACTATCTGAAGATGCACAGAGTACCCACTAGATAGCTGTCGCCGCTGTGGCTAGTCTTTCTCTTCTCTCAAGGCAACGCTCTCGCATACTGGCCGACTACATGTACAGTACCTGCAATAAATCAATTTCCTTTTTGGTTTTTGGTTTTGTGTGACTCACCTTGCTTCATTGGCCATAGCTTTAGGGGCAAGTTGCACCAAGGGAACTCGCTCCTGTCGTAGCTAGTTTAGTGGTACCCACCAGTTTCAATCCTTGCTTACGATCAAAGTCATACTTCTGAAGATCCGGCTGGGCGTGCATTAATGAAATTTAAGTATTATTACTCTGTGATTGGACTCTGGTACTAGTTTGGTTTGGTGTTGTGCTTCAAAAGCTACTGGTATTCACATCTGGCCGTGCCACAGTCACCGCAATAGCCAAAGGCGGCCAAATTCTCATCAAACTTGCACAACTTGCAGGTCCAGTGCTTTTTTGTTCCACACATGCCACAGTATTTCATCCTGTCCCTCATGAGGGCTCCACAACCACAAGCCCAATGCAAGTGGTGTGTGTGTATTGGTGGCAATGAGAGATGATGCTGTGTCGGTAAGTCCGCTACATTCGAGCTTTCATTGCCCCAGGTGGACGTTCTCCTCAGGACAGGTTTGCTCGAATCTGTGGCTGCCTTCTTTCCTGAAGCACCCCCGTCTGAGTTGCTCCTTGGTGGCAGATTCTTCTTCGCTGGCGTTCGCAGACGAGCCGCAATGTCCGTGATGGAGTGGCACTGCTTCATTTCATCGCGAATCTTATCATAGTTGCTCTTTTGCGTATGCAGCTTTTGAGTGGAGCTCCCATCGCTGCCGTTGCTGCTATCGATGCCATGAGCAACGGCAGGTATGTCGGTTAGAGAATATCGTCTCAAACTGGACGTTCGGCCTCGACGATAATTGCTACCCCTGGATCGGTGTCGCTCTTTTCGACTCATCCGAGCTCCTACAATGACAAGGCCACTGGATGAAACCTTCGGCTTGGTTGGGGTCGCAAACACATCTAGTGGGGCGTTTGATGGCGATGAAGTTTCACGTCGATTCATAGCGTTAACGATGACAACTTCGTAGTTTGTAGATATTAGCACGCTGCACGATGTCCTTTGCAAATTGTGAGCGAATTTTTGGGTGCGTTTTGTTTGAACGGTGAGAGTCATCGTACTGGTACCTGTAAAGAGGTGATTAATGCAAAAATGGCACAGTATGTCTTTCGGTTTCTGGGTAGATCATATGATTTAACAAATGAGGAACACTGGGTTCATCCTTGACTGCTCCCTCGTTTGAGATTTAGGCACCAAGTCCTGCAATCGAGTTGCTGGGTTGTTGCCCCACAGCCCTCATCAGTTGCCACTCCTCTTCCGTTAGCTAATTAGCTAACGTACCGGCAATTACAGTGGTCTAGTAAAACTGTAGACGGTCCTCTTGGTTTCAAGGCCTTCTATCATACATTGTATGGTACCGGTGCATTGGAAGCTTGGCACAGTACGTGTACCGTACAGCGTAGATCAGTTCAGGTCGTTATCGATTGCTTACTCTAGCTAGCTAGCTGGCTAGTAGTACGCAGCTAGCGCAGCTATCTAGTGGTTGGTTCCGTTTTGATGGGAAGGACGATATCCCCCAAGTTAGCAACCAGTGAGTTAGTAGTTCGGCTCATCGTTGACCTCCTTGCAATCATGATGGAAAGGCAATGTTGGCATGGGAAGTACCTTCAGCCTGTGCCTTGACCCCCTACGATATTTTTTAAATACCTGGGTGTTGGAAAAGCAGTATCCACGTCTCGAAGATTTATGTTCTCTCTTGGCTTCGCTGACTACTACTCCCCGCACTAACAGTGGTTATTCCAATGAATATCCAATACATCCACCTTTCGGGATATCAACAAGCAGCGGTGTCTCTTTTGACAGCAGGTGGTTCGCTATGCCCACAGGAAACTGTAAGTTCACCCTGGATGTAACTTGGGATAAGATCCAGTACAAGGCAGTTGTTTGTTGCCCAACTTTTGACACTTCTGTACACCAGCTAGGATGTTCTTGTGGTTCCCAGCTTGTGTTTCCTTGATTGCTCATTGCAAGAGTGAGGGAGACATAGCTTTTTTGTTTGGAGGCAGCATGATGGCTTGTCTCTTACTCACTCTTGAATTTTTCCTTTGTAGTGGATTGTGTCAAGGGTGCAATGAAGCGGTTGCCCAAGAAAATGCCCGCCAGTGGTACTGCAAAGAAGTGTGAATCGTCTGTTTTTACCATTGCAAAGGATACTGAAAGCGTGGTTATGGTGCTAGAATGTTCCGGAAATCTTTCACAAAAAGAGATTCACTCAGCCTTGTGGACTAACTAAGATGGCAGCAAAAATAAGCCAGAATCTATGAATGGCTAGCTACTAGTAGCCAGGAGACTATCTATTTGGGTGTTGTATGTGCGAGGTAGAGCCTGATCAACAATCAGAGGGAGAAGGCGGAACACGAAGGTTTTGCGCCGTCTTGGGGTGGCAGTTGAGGCGATCTTTCTTAGGGTTCAGGCTTTTTGCTCAGTTCGTCGATAGGCACTCACTCTCGGAACTCAGAAGCAACGACAAAACGGCTACTTGATGGTGTTGATGCTGTTGCTGTTGTGATGAGACTTCCATTCCTTCCCTTTGCCTTGTTTCTGTTTTCCTCAAGAGATCGAAGGTGCAATAATAGTAAGAGCATGTCCTCTGTGATTGACTTGTGCAGCAGCGACGAGGAGGACGTGAAAGCAGTAGCTGTCCAATCGAAGGCGGCTGTTCGGCGGCGGCGCTCCAAGCCCGTCACTCCAGAGGATCGAAAGGATGGAGACGGCAACAGTAGTAGCAGTGGTAGTGAGCATCGCAAACACAAGCAAAAGAAGTCTCGCCAGCTGGCTTTCGACAATGATTCTTCAGATTCAGACGATGATTATCTCTTTGCGCCCATTGGATGTTTCGCAAACAAGAAGAAAGAAGAAGATACTGTGACTCCCTTCAAGGAAAATCCCAAGGCAAAGGCAGCTCCTTCCCTGAAGCAGCCGCGAGCAATCACTTCCAGCTTGGGCACTACATCTTCGGCAAGCACGACAGCAATCCCAAAGCGACCGCCAGTGCTCAATCCATATGCCAAGCGTCCAGTTTCCAAGCCTTCCAAATCCCAAGAGGCACCCTTGTCTTACCCCAATCCATCGAATCAAACTCATCCAGACTTGCGTCCCATGTTTATCTTGGCCTTTTGGAAACACGCACAAACCATGGTACACGCTTCGTACAATCTTGGCAAAATGGATCAAATCTGTCGACGCATCTGTGCCTTGGCATTTTCCGACTTTCCCATTCGATCGGAAGAGGAATACTGCCAACGATTCACCAGTACTCACGATGCCGCAGCCATTCGCGAGATATTCCAAGGATGCCACAACAAGTTTCCCACAATCATCACACCATCCGATGGCCGCTACGTCTCCATTCCGGAAGCTTGCCTTGTGGCCCTGTTGGAACACGCCGAGTCGATTGCCAAGGAAGAGAATAATGACAACGCTCTTCCCTCTGTCTTGAGTCAAAAGCAATACTGGATATCCCTCTCCAATCTGCTTCCCATGATTGATTCTCGTCTCAAGAGTATCTGTCCAGGAAGACTCACCCAATCCAATCAAGACGACAATGGTGCGGCACACTACTTGGAACCATCCACGCGATCGGCCGAATTCAAACAAATTGAAAAGCTAACCACCAAAGCTTCGACTGGTCAAGACGTACCCTACATGAAACCTCATCGACAAAAGGGGCTCGTCTACTATGAACTCACGGCTTTAGGGTATCAAATGGCACAGACTGTTCGACACCGAACGTTTCCTGGTCCACCCGGTCACTACCGAACCAGCAATCTGCATCCGGAGGAATCGCAAAAGTATCAAGGCATTTGCCTGGCAGTCGACAATCGAGAAGGTGGAGGTCCCAAGAAACGACTACATGCCATGTGCAATAAGTTGGACTGGTTAAAGACTCCCTACTTTGTCCGTAGCTTGGACATTGGAGACTACTGCCTCTTTGCGACAGACACCGATCGGCTGCTTCCCGTGTTGGTGGAACGCAAGAGTGTCCAGGACGTGGCAGCATCGATTTACGATGGTCGTTGGACCAATCAAAAGAGACGCATGTATCAAGGACAGTACGTGTTTGGATATGACAATTGCCGCCTGGTCTACATTATCGAAGGGAACCGGGATGCCCAGCAATTGACGGGCGGATATGTAGGGGAACGACGATTCGACGTGACGCGTGAGCAGCTCGACAAGGAAATTGAAAATTTGCAATCCGAGGGATTCAAAGTCATGATCACGCAGTGAGTAGTTCGTGATAACTCTCTGCTTTCTTGATTCGGTATCTTAACTTTGTTCCTACCATACCTTTGTGAATGTGTAGCTCGCCGGACCATTCCATGGTGGAGTTATCCAAGTGGGCTGTGGACGTGCGTCAGGATTATGCCAGCGGGAAGTTGAAAGCCAAGTATACGTACGAAGCGTTCCTTCAGGCCGTCCGCAAGATTCCACGCAACACGGACTTCTCAAGGATTGCCAAGGACCACGCAGCAAATGGATTATTTGAACAATCTACCACCGTGGAAGCAAAGAAACCAGCCGCTCAGAAAAAGTTTGAAATCAAGAAACAATCTACCGCCGTGGAAGCAAAGAAACCAGCCGCCCAGAGAAAGCTCAACTTCGGTTCCCTCTCATCAGCTACCAGTCCCAAGTGGAACAACTACAATGGTTGGACTGTGGCCAAGTTAAAAGCCGAGTGTGAGAAGCATGGCCTGCCAAAGACTGGGAATAAGGCCGAAATCATTGCCCGCTTGAATGGACCCAAACCGCCCCAACTTTGGCGGGATCGCAAAGCGCAAAAAGAATACGTCCCCACCAAACCCGATGGTTGTGCCAATGCTATTTTGGTAGGGCTTTTGCTGGAACAACGAAAGGCTGGGTCCAACTTTGTTGGGTTGACCAAAGAGGAACTCCATCCGTTGGCGGAAAGTCTTGAGATTTCCAAAGATCCCTTCAGTGGAGTCCCGACAGGGCCATACAAATACGATGGTTGGAGCAGCATGAAGGACCTCCGGGGAGGGGAGATTCCCCTGGTCATTCTCAGAAAGGGACGCTTCGTGCTCACAACCAGTAGTGACGTTTCGGGCTATCCGTTTGCCGAGGCCATGCATCAGTGGTGCCACGAACATGGCGTGTGCAAGTGCCAAAGTGTTGGATATGAATACGAAGGATGATGAGGATGATGCACTGTTTATCCAATGGTAGCCAATTTCACTGATGTCAGTGCTGGGATATGGACAACAATTGCTCACCAGCTCAAAATCAACTTACCGGTATAGTACTATAGTACTAATCATACCGTATAAAGTGACTCATGAAAATTCCCAGATACTGGAAGAACCTACTGTCGTTCCTCTCGGGCCTATGCATACCGGGCACGTCCAATTCCGTGTTCTCTCGTGTATGACAACCCAGCTAGTTCATATCCGTGCAATATCTCATTTAATTAATCGATGTACACGTAGTAACAGTTTTGCTTGGAGTGTGGACCCGGTGTGTCGTACACGTACGTGTACAGGTTCCTGCGGCGATGTACCATTTGCGTTATGATTGCTCCAGTTTACCACAAGAGTGGAATCCTCGTTCGATTCGATTCGATTCGATTCTTCGCAACCTAGGCAGGAGACCGGTCGTTTCCTGCTTGTTTGGCGTCATTGTTGACCGATCCTTCGGCAATGGTTCCAGCAAGGTAGACGAGGATGGGGAATGGAGTTCCTAAACTAAACCACTTCATCACAGAAACAGAAGAGGAGGAGCCACCAGAACTCAGATCTCCGTCCATCATCTGACTTGTCGATGTTTGTAACTGAGGAGAGTTGTTGACTTGGGATTGACAAAAGCCTGTGGCCATTGTGATCACCACCAAATATGTAATTTGTTGTTCAGATTGAATCATTCCTTCATTCCTTCAAAGTCGACTAGAAGCCCTTCTATTGTTGCGCATGAGCGGTGTTTGTTCGGTCCATTGCATTTCTTCATCGTTGTCATCATCATCATGGTTGTTGTTGTTGTTGTTGTTGTTTCCTCCAAATCTGAAACTACTGGTAGAATTCATCATCATGGCATTCGCATTATCGAGTTCCTGTTCTTTGATTTGACAAAAGATGCAATGTTCGTGTCGCCCATACAGAATTTGTCCAATTTCCATTTGCGCCACGAATCGATTGTCCATACAAAACCAAAAGGTGATGAGGGAAACAAAAATTTGGAATCCAAATTCAAGGTAATGCGCGGCGGCCGTATAGTGGGCATTGTAAACAATAAAGTTACAGGCAGCGACCAAACAGGCAATGAGGACCATGACAATGGACGATGTATCGGATTGTGTATCGCTGGTGTTGTTCTGAACGGCCGCCACGACGCCATTGGGTGGTTGTTCTTCGAGATGAAGCAGGGATGCCAGTAGAATCATGGTGATGAAGGAGAGTGTAAAGGAGTTGATGAACTATATATTATAGAATAGACAAGCACACAAGTCAAGTTAGATCCACAGACATGTATAAATGTTCAGAAAGAACCACAACACAGCATGAGTATCACTCACCTCCAGTTCATGACACAGTTTTTCAAAGTACTCAAAGTCCAGTGTCATTAATAATGCCGGCACCATACTGTTGACGACATTGAAGAATAGGAGTAACTTGAGTAGATTTGGTTTTTTGTAAATGTGCAACATGGTTTTGGGCGACATGACCAAGGCAAATGTTTCGGCAATGGCGTAGATGCACGAGGTCCAGAATTCGAGCAAATGAAAGGTTCTATGCGAGACTTGAGGAGGTGGATGGGCGTGCTTGAGGACGTAGTTCAAATAGACCAAGACCACATTGACGGCACAAACCCCCAAACAAATGAGACCCAACCAAAAGTTGCATTCGGCACGACGATCCAAATCTTGGAGTGTGTACTGCAAGAGGACATTGGATGTCTCGTGCATCATAGTACCACCACGGGCATTACTATTGCCAGTAGTAGTGTTGTTGACAGCAGCATCGCCAGCCGAGGAACGATGACTGCTCTTGCTGTTTTCCACACAACAGGATTTCCCGGAAGGCATCATGGCCAAAATTTGACTGTTGGATGCCACGCGCTTCATCCTGAAAGAAGGACTGCCAGCTGCGGAATCACTCGAACCAGCAGACGACGACCGACTCGTCTGGGGAGTGGGCGATGCCATGGTAGATGATGATGCGGAGCAGCCTTTACTGGTGCAGCAACTTCTACTGGATGGCATGGTCGAGGAAGTTGGTGAGGCAAAGCTTTATCTTGCTTGCTTGTCAATGAAAGAGACGTCGATCGAGATGATTTGATTTATTTGAGAGCAGAAACAAAAACCGAGAGAAAAGAATGCCAAAGTGCCCGAAAACGTCATTCAACGGTCATTAAGACTTTAGTAAAACAGCACAGCTGTTTCATGCTTTAAGGCACAAAGGTCCAAGGAGCTCACGGTCACAGCTTGCGATACCGGTATTCTCACTGGTTATGGCTTCCTCTCTGACGCCTTTTTGACAAGCCGCATTTCGCGTCTGGCTCGTCTGCACGGAAGAAGTCCATCAGCAAAGGAGCAAATTGAAAGAGGCCCTCTCCACCTCGCAACTGCCACTCTATTACTTACTACATCGTGTTAGTAGAACCACTACCACTACAACATCAACAAACAGATAGATCATCATGATGATGAATGACAAACTCCGTCGAGCCATCAAGAGAGACCCGTTTGTCCTGGACAAGTATCGCCACTATCAAGATGACGAGACGTTCATTTTGGCCGCCATTCCGTATCCGGGTTGTTACGGTCCCGTACTGCGATGGGCCACGCCTCGCTTTCGATCCGATTTGAAACTAGTCACTCGCATGGCCAAACTCAATTGGAGAATTTTGGAGTATGTATCTACAGAGCTTCAAGACAATCGAGATTTCATTGTGGAAATCATGTCGTTTACCAACAACACGTTGGTGCTACAATTTGCGTCTCCCACACTCCGGGATGATTCCACATTATTACTCGAAGGTCTCCAAATGGCATCCAAGGCACTCCGGTATGCATCCAATCAGCTCAAAAATGACAAAACATTCTTTTTAAAAGCGGTCCAACAATGTGGCAGTGCCCTCGAGTACGCATCTCTGCAATTACAAGACAATCGCGACATTGTCTTGGCGGCGGTCCGACAAGATCCCAGTAGTCTCCTGTATGCATCGGAACGACTGCGCGGAGACCGGGAAATTGTCTTGGTGGGTGTCCAGTACGGATGGTTTGAAATGCTGCAATATGCGGCTCGCGAATTACGAGCGGATCGACAGGTCGTACTGGAGGCGGTGGCATCGCATGCCAGCAATTTGAAATTTGCATCGGAGGAACTGCGAGGCGACAAGGAAATTGCCCTGTGGGCCGTCAGTAAGGGAAGTTATTTCGAGTATTTATCCAAAGATATACAGAACGATCTGGATGTGGTCTATGCCGCACTCTGTAATGGAAGTGGATACTTTATTGATGTCGTGTGGAACAAGGTGTGGTACTGTCAAGACCTCAAGGCTCGTTTGGGAGACTTGGCCAAGGCAGTATTTGCAACCAATCAGGTCTACAACAACAATAATAATCACGATTGTGATTGTTCTTGTTTGCTGTTGCCCATGGAACAAGAAGCACCGGAGGATTATCTGCAGGCTTGGTTTGACATTATCTATGAGAAGCGCTGGTTGCTCCGACAAATGGGGAATGGAATGCCACGGGAAGTACAGAATCAAATATGTGCCTTTGCCGATGATGAATCGTGTTGGGCCAATGAGCTGTTGGCTTGTGAACCTTTTATTTCCAGATTTGTGCTGGAGGCAAACAAGGGGGGTGACTATGATTGGGTGGAGTTTCTGAGGGGATGCCTGGAATGGGCCAGAAATGATAGTCCATAAATAGTTCAGCGTTCCTATTCTAGCTACATGTACTATGGTATCGCAGGCATGGTTTGCTTGTTATCCTCTACTAGCTACATGTAGGAAAAGCCATGGTTTGCTCGGTCCAGTGGCCAACAAGCACTGTTGTAGAGGAACGAATCTTTTTCCTAGTCAGATGAGTGACAGTCGAGTCATTCTGGGCCAAGCTAGCTAGCTAGTAGCATTTCACATTCGTGCCCGTAATTTTCCAAAATGGCAGAGGTAGAGAAACGTTACTCTGTCATGTCATGGTCCATGATGAGGCAGAACTATGATTGGATTTCTTTTCTGAGCAAGTGCAGAATTGCTGTCGCCTGTCCAAGCTCCCAGGTTGGGCCAGCCGGCTGGCAAGCACCACCCGAAGTAGGGGAGCAGAAAGCGGGCCAGAAATCATTAGAGAACTTATTTTTAAGCTTTTTGTTGTATGTATGAGTCTATAGCTATTGATGAATTGTTGCCGTGTTTGAATTGATGGCTTCGTGTAAGATTCTCCACGCGGTTCGTTTCTCGTCCGTCGCTGCAGATTGAAATGCCGCGGTATCGTCGCTTCTTCCCTCATTTATTTCTTCTTTAACTTCACTCTGCTAGCCAGTCGCCAGGCTATCGTCCATAATCCATGACGTTAGTAATGGCATCCAAGTTTTTGAGCGCATTGGGGATGTAGTACTTTTCAAACACCAACGGGAAGGGTGTATCCAAACCACAGATGCGTTGAATGGGTGCTTCCAAACTCAAAAAGCAGTGTTCTTGCAACGTCGCCACCACTTCGGCTCCAAATCCACACGTCAGCGGTGCTTCGTGCGACACGACCAATTTGCCCGTCTTTTGGACCGACTCGACGACGGTATCGACATCCCAGGGTAGAATCGTTTGCAAATCAATCAGTTCACAGGAAATGCCATGCAATCCATGGGCCATATCGCAGGCTTCCTCGAGAACTTTCAAATGTCCACCCCATCCTACAATGGTGACATCGCTTCCGGAACGCATCACTTCGGCCTGTCCGAGTGGCAATTCGTAATCTCCCGTGGGGACGGGTTCCACTGCCGTACGGTACAGTGCCTTGGGTTCCAAAAAGACAACGGGATCGGGTGACCGAATCGATGAGAGGAGCAATCCTTTGGCTGTTTTGGGGGATCGTGGCATGACGACTACCAAACCGGGTGTGTGCGCCAAGTAGGCTTCGGGAGATTGACTGTGATAATGGCCACCATGGCCGACGGCACCACAGGGTGCTCGCAAGACGACATTGCCACAGTTCCATTGATTCCCCGACCGGTAACGAAATTTGGCCATTTCGTTGACAATCTGATCAAACGCAGGGAAACTGAAGCAAAGAAACAACACGGGACAAATATTGCAGAAGAGAAGGAATGCCAAAAGTCAGAGAAAAACACTACAAAAAAAAATCATTTGCTGTCTTTTCTTGCCAATAAAATACTCACATGTAATCTGCAAATTGGATTTCCCCAATGGCCGTCCCGCCCACACTGGCATGCCCAATGGCAAACCCAGCAATGCCATTTTCGCTGAGAGGTGTATTGAAGACTCGGTCCTTGCCGTACTTTTCCGCCAGTCCCTGGGTACAACGAAAGACTCCACCAAAAGCAACGTCTTCTCCAAAGATAATGGCCGTAGGGTCACTTGCCAGCGCAATATCCATGGCTTGATTGACGGCCGTGAACAAATTCATTTCTCGAGTTTCATCTGCTGTAGCGGCGGCTGCTCCAGCGGAATTCCTTTGGACTGTCTGATGAAATGCTCTCCTCACCACCTGCTGCCCCAGAATGGGCAGGCGGCGTTCGGCAATGCGCAAGGAAGAAAGCATCATGGTTCTAACTCAAAAGCTGCTGCTGTTGTTATGTTGCTACTCCTGAGGCTTGGCAAAGTAGATTCGCTTCTGTCAAGCAAGTCCAGAGGTCTGATGAGGAACTGAAACAGAATTTGGTCTGACAATGATGCCATCACGGAACCAGCTGGCCCATCATTCCGCTTCGTTCTTGTCGTGTTGGTTCGTTGGAGGCAAGTGTCAATTCTCGGAATTCTGATGAGAAGTGGATCGGATCGCAAAGAGCGAGGCCAACTTGAATTGTTCGTGTCAAATAACACGGCAGAGCTGCAATGTACTTCCTTACAGCCTACAGTCCCAATGCTAATAATACGACAGCGAAAAGTCGGACGTTCAACTCCTCATGCCATCAGCCCACAAAAGAAATGATTACCCCCAGTTAGGCTGGCTATCTAGCTGCAGAGAGTTTGTGGGTTTATGATTGGATAGGGTAACTCTTGGTTGGTGGCTATCGGTGGTGCCATTACTTGGCCATTCCTATTATCTTTTGCATAGAGACACAAATGGAATCATGAACGCAGCCTATTGTCTCCATGTGCAGGTGAGCGGGCAAGACTTTCACCACCATGGCTGCAAGCCACGCTGGTAAGCTCCAACTCTGCGAGGTTTGAGATAAATGCCCAGTGCCAGAGCTCGAGGTCCAAACAATGCCGCATTTTCAACAATTTCTCAACAATCCTCAAGAGTTTGACTCTGCGTGAAGAAAGGGAAAGCGCGAAGAGAGCAATTCTGCAGGACCCTTTAGGCCCAAAAGATTGAATCGAATCATTCAGGAAATGAGCAATTTTAGCCAAGTCTTTGTCATTCTGCATGCATGTTCAGCGCCCCAAGTATGGAGAGGAAGAATTCCCAGATGAAGGAAAGCTTTTGGCAATCTACAAAATCACCGCTAAACAAAGCTTCCAACCCTCTTGGGGCGCTCAAGGGAAGATAAGCAGCGACATCATACTTGCCACACCACGTGCCGATTCAACCTGGTGTAATCGCAGCATTGTTTGTTTCAGACCAAACTGAATGGTCAAGATGACTTTGCTGCTGTGAACTCTCCCAATCCTTGCCTCTTTATAAAGGCTTTCTCAACAATCACGACGGGGACTCTCTTCTCACTCAGGGGAATGTGGAAGCGCCCTCACCGAATGACAAGCACTTTAGTTGAACAGTTTGCGCATTGGCTGGGACATCAAGTGGTCAAAAAAGTCTTTCATTTGCGAGGCAGTAATGGGCTTGTGGAGGGTCTCGATCATCCCAGCATCGCTGCACTTTTGATCGGCCGATTCGCTCACTTCCGCGGTAAGGCCGACCACAATCGGCCTCGTATTTTCTTTGTACCGGGCAAAGATTTCGTGCGTAAGCTCAATTCCATCCATATGTGGCATCTGCAGGTCGGTAAACACCAGGTTGAAGTTTTCTGACTCAAGAAGTTCCAGTGCCTTTTCTCCCGAACTGGCCGTTTTGACTTTTCCAACCCCCACTCGGCGAAGCATTCGTTCCAGAACTTTCAGATTGATAATGGTATCGTCCACGACCAACACTTGGAACATGGTTTCATCAAAGGAACCCTGCGATTTGGGACTGACGGGCTGTTTGGGCAGATGATCGAGCGGTGTGGCCAATGCCACATCGTTGAGTGCCACGGGCAAATAAAAGGAAAAGGTGGACCCACGGTCTGGATTGTTGTTGACCCAGACGGTCCCGTTCATTTTCTTGACAAATTTCAAACACAGATTCAATCCCAACCCTGTCCCCGACGGTTGTCCCGCCTCGCTTCCTCCAATCATGTTGGTGGGAGATGTTTTGAGCTGGGAAAACCGGCCAAACATTTTGCCGCGTTGTTCTTCCGGTATGCCTGCCCCGGAATCACTCACGTGGACAATGGTTACTTTGATGGATTCTCGTTGCGATACCGGCATGGAAGCAAATTCTTCCTGGGGCGACCCCGATGTCAGTGAATTCTTGGCCGTTTCCTCGGCCTGTTGCACGGTGGACACACCCACATGAACCGTAACACTGGCGCCGGCTTGGGAATACTTGATGGCATTCGATATAAGATTGATCATGACTTGTTGAAATCGCAATTCATTGGATAGCACACGCAACAACGATTGATCGTCCTGGAGCTTCAACGTGAGATTGACACCGGAAATACCGGCAAACGGTCGACAAAAGTCAATGGCCGATGTCAGTGCCGACTCGAGGAGCAGCGGATTGAGAACGAATTCATCCATCATGGCGCAGTCGCATTTGCGCACATCGAGCATATTGTTGATGAGTGTGAGTAGCAAGCGTGCCGATGTCATGACGACCGTCAAGGACTCGGCGGTGGATTCGGTGAGCCGCGACTCTTCCAACATCATACTGGTCATTCCCATGATTCCCTGTAGTGGCGTTCGAAGTTCGTGACTGAGTGTTTGCATGGATTCTTGCATGGCTTGGGCGGCCATGGCTTCCTGGACGGCAACCTTTTCGGCTCGCTGTCGTGCTTTATCGGCCGTGACATTTTTCAAGACGACCAGAAATTGAAACTGTTCTTGGTCGGCTGAGGGTTGTTGTTCCTTGTTGGTGGCGGGGCTGGTTTTCTTCTTTCTATTCTTGATCGTACTTGTAGTTGTTGCTTTTGTCGTTGTTGTGGTTTGGTCTTCCCAAGCAGCTGGAATGGGAGAAATCTCTACCGTAATGTCTTGCCCGTTGACGACGATATCATTGTGCGTGGCTTCTTTCCGAAACCACGACGAACTATCACACGTCCCCAAGAGAGTTTCGAGTTGTACATTTTGCAATTGCGAAGACGTCCGCATGGTCAATCGTTCTAACGCCGCATTGGACCACAGCAGTCTTCGATTGGGATCGGTAATGGCCATGGCAGTTTCACTGGACTGTAGTGCATGCTCGACAATTTGCAACTGTTTGGATTGTTTGACGATTTCTTTGGTGCGCACTTTGACCAGTGCATCCAGTGTTTCATTCAAATCAATTTCCTTGCGAAAAGCATCCGAAGAAAAGAGTCCCACGACGGCAAAAAAGGCGGCTTTTAAAATGGCAAACCCTCCGTCTTTGGCGTAACCTTCGTACGCGTACATTTTGACAATTTCGTGACAGACGTGATAGGCAAATGTTCCCGCGAGTATGAGACTGGCGCCCTGGGCGCCAATCAGATCCTGATCTTCATTCTTGACCGAGTAGTAGTGAAATCCAAAAAAGACAGCGGCAGCACTGAGTAGTGTCGGTAAGGTTTCCGAGAGTGAGAGGAGGGGAGTGCAGTACGCCACGACAATGGCGTTGGCCAAGGCGACGGCGCCACCGGCCATTTTGTACGAGAATGGCAAAGGAATGTTGCCCGAGACCACCAGAAGCGACCACAGAAATTGGGGAACGACAACCACTTCGTCCGAATGCGGCCATCGATACAGATTCATGCCGGCAATGGACAATGACATGCAAAGACACGCCAGAGTCGATGCCATGGGAAATTCTTTCATGTACGCCCACCACGAAAAGACCGTCGTCAAGGCAAAGGCAATGTTGATGTGTAGAGCTCCTTCCTGAGGATCTTGAAGGTACATGTACATGTACACCGGCAGGAATGCTGTGTAGCACAGCGCATTCACGAGGTCTCCGTAATATCCCATTGTTGTTGTATTGTTGTGTTGTGAGATTTGTGAAGATTGAGAGTTCAACAACGGTTGGTGTCAAAGTGTGGGGGTGGAGGCTGCGCAGCGAAAAAGTGCAAAAGTTGCAGCAACTGAGGTCGTGAACGAACAACCAACTAACCAAGCACTATCGTAGCTAGCTAGCTAGCTACCAGTAGCACTCAAAAGTGAGGTTGTGTCGTTGTGTCCAAAGCTTTGAGTTGCCTCTGTTGAGGAGCTCTCGAGGTGCAAGTTTTACGGGTTCCCAGTGACCACTTGGCACTGGCGGCACTGGCGACACATCAGATAGAAGAGGGGTGTCAACGAAGGAATCGAATGGAATCAGGCCTTCAAGAAGCTGGTTCTTTGGTTCTTTGCTGTTTGGTCAATTGACAGCTGTCTTCTGCCAATCGTTGGTGTCTCCAGACAGCTGCGGGCAGTGGCATGATCGACACATCAGCTGCTTTATGTAAAGACTTTGTTTCTCCGAGATCCGGAGTATTGGCCTCAGGCCCAAAAAGAACAAGAAAGAGGTGGAAAGTGGAAAGACAGCTGAACTGAGAATCGGGGCAGTACATGCTTCCGCAGACAAAACAGCTCACGCTCCAAGCACACATTCGCAAGGTGTCCCATTCTTAAATTCGCTACAGATACCGTCCGGTACAGCTGTACATGTACATACATGTAAAGGATCCGGAGTACCACTGCACATACCGTACTGTACTCTAGACTCGACTCATTGGACATACACAGTGTACAGTAGGACCTTGCCTTGGTTCTTTTCTCAGTCTAAGAAAGAACCCATAGAATGGTCATTTCACGGAAGCACTCTGAAATGACTGGCAAGAGGCAGGAAATTTAAATAGACTATTGACCACCATGTCCCAGCGGTGACCAAAATTAACGCCACATGGACAACACCAAAACAGCTCCACGTTCCACGCTCGATTGCCCTCAAAATGTGAAGACACATCCCAAATCTAAAGGACCCTCCTTGCAACTCTGCTGTTGACCATCGAGACATCGAGACCATGGCCGATCCTCCTGCTTGGTCGACTATGCCTCTTTGGGGCTCCATCCTTGAGTATTTATTTGGTGGATGATCCACTTGCTTTGCTGGCCTGTATGATGGTGAACAAGAGTCTTCGAAAGAAAGCTGGACAATTGATGAATCCGACGTCCCATGTCATTGGCAGGTGGCAAGAGTGCAATGGCAGCCCAGGTCCAAACCATATGTTTTCGTCAATTTCTCAACAATCCTCAACGCTTTGCCTCTGCCTGGAAAAAGGGAAAACATAAAGAGAGCAATTCGGCAGGACCCTTTCGGCCCAAAAAAATCCAGGAAATGAGTGATATTTTAGCCAAGTCGTTTGTCATTCTGAATGTTCAGCGCCCCCAATATGGAGTGGAAGAATCCCAGATTGCAGTCCTTGACAAAGGGAAGCTTCTGGCAATCTACAAAATCACCACTAAACAAGGCTACCAACCCTCTCGCAAGGGCTCAAGGGACGACAAGCATCGACATCATCGTTGCCACACCCCGTGCTCTTTCGAGATGGTGTCGTCCGCTGCATTGTTTGTTGCAGACCAAACTGATGGTCAAGATGACTTTGCTGCTGTAAGCTCTCCCAATCCTTGGCTGTTCTTAAATGCTTTTCTGGACGCTCTTGACGGGGACGCTTATGAATTACAAGCTCTTTCGACTATTCCAAGGTCGTTTGTCTCCAACTGAAATCGGCGCAGTCCTCATCCATGCTGCAACTTTAAATCCACAGGCCATTTATGACTATGTCAATGCTGTTCATCAGCTATTGGAGGGCAACTTTGATCCTGGTCATTTTGTTGGTTGAAACACTCTTGGAATGGCTACATCAAAGACTGGACGACCATGAAGTCCAGCAGCACATGGATACCTACTTTAGCTGGGGGCGTGAGCTAAAAACAGTTCAATATGACTAGCTAGCTAGCTAGTATTGATTCATGTCATCAAAAAAACTCCACTCAAGAATATACCCAACGACATCACAAAAGGCAGTTCTTACGCATTCAAGGTCAATAAATCGAGAACGAGAGCCAGGCACGTGCAGTGTACCGGTATAGCTAGAGAAGCACCTGCAGGGACGGAGCAATCGATGTAGACAACTCCGATTATAATCAACTATCGGTTTTCCCCAAAAGTGCCAGCACTACGTGGAGCTGCAGTGGATAACCCTGTTGAATTGTCGTTTTGGAGGAGTGCAGAATGAAATGGGCTGGAGAACCATTGCATCATGGCAAAACTAGCTCCTCCTTCTTCACGAGCTCAGTCATCTGGTCCACCTTGACCTTGGCTCCCCAATCCTGATAGTGGGCCAAGGCTTTGGCAACAAATTTGGATGCTTCTGCCTTTTTCCCAATGGACAAGTACATCCTTGCGGCTCGCTCACACGCCAATCCTTGATCACTCCGTATCTCATCCCTTTCGGCGAGTCGAATGGACTTTTCGTACTTTTGAATCGCAAGATCAAACTGGCCCCGTGATACAGCCTGTTCCGCTTCTGCCAAGGATAGTTTGTGAGAATAGTTCTCTGGACAGAGTAAGGCTGCCTCTTGAAGGCGCTTCAGACGCCTTTTCCTTCGCCGTCTTTCGAGCAGGTTGTTGTTTCGTTTCGCTGCGAACGGCGACTCTGCCAGGACACATTCCAAGAAAGTCAGATGCTTGACTGTGAACGGTATCACTAGCAGCTTGGCTTGTTGCCTCGCGTTCGCCGACAAGGCTCCACCTTCAATGGCATACTCAAACTGGTTCAGGTAGACAGCAAGGTGGAGTTTGAAGAATTGGGACAAGCTGTACATGCTTTGGTTGAAATCCCAGTCGCTGTGTCGAAAGTCGTCTTCGTTCATGGCGTCCCCCTTGAGCAAGAGCGGGTCCGGCGATCGACCCATCAAATTGTAGCAGCTTTGCAACACTGGGCCGCTGAAAATGATCACTCCTATCTGCCCATAGTCTTTGCACAGCTTCTCAAGATGGAGCAACGAACCCACGACCGAGTCGAGAGGATCTCCAAGGAAAAATCGCATCGTGTGATGAAAGAATAGTGAAATCATTGACGCCTACAGGGTGAACAAGAGCAGAGCGTGAGATAAAGTCAGCACTCATAGTGGCACTAGCACGAGACAGTCATTCTTTTTCACTTGTTCTCACGTGAACATCGCCTGTTTTCAAGCCAAAACGATACGCAAACTGCAATGGTTGTAGACAAGCTCGCATAGACTCCGTTTCGGGTTTGACGTATGCTGATACCACAAAGGTAGTCCGTGCCCTGAACGCCCTGGCTGTCATCTGAAGAGCCATCCTTGCAAAGACACTTCCTTCATCAGATTTGCCTAGTCGGACGAGCACCACACTATAGAAAGCAAAACCGAGGCCACCTAATGAAGCATACAATAGGATTCGGTGTGAGCAATGGTACCATAGGCAGAAACACTAAGACGGCCTCATGACTCACTCGCCGCACTTTGACCATGCGCCAGCGTCAGCCGGACTAGGCTACAAAGGGTAAGGGCGCGACGCATCGAATGAGCCTCCCTCCCATGGACGAAATGTGAAGTTTCAAGGTTGGTACAGTGCTTACCGACAAGCGCATATTTTTGTCATTACAAACTTGTGCAGAAGGCAAATGGGGTAGAGCAGATGCAGGACTTGCATTGCCGCCAAGGCTTTCCTGTCCGTCATCGGAGAAAGAGCTAGGATGCGATCTGGTGTCCGCCCTCGTAGCATTCGTTCTGTTTTCTTGAACTCTAGCTCAATGGGCGCTCTCCGCGGAACCCTTTCTCCCAAGTCGTCCAAAATGGAGAGACAAATATGAAGGCATTCAACATCAGTTCTCGAATCCAATGACATGATGCGACAAATATCCGCCTGAAAGCGATCCTCAGAGGATCGTGCATGTTCTGAAACTTGTGCTGTCAACCGGTCTACAGTCTCATGATCCCCACTGCAATGGGCTAACTCTGCACCCGAATTGAAAAGGAGCAGGCTGAGCTCATATTGGTCCCTCCAATGACGCCGCTCCAGAAACGATATCCCCAATTCCACGTATTCTGTTGCGGACGAGAATGCAGACGCTTTGGCAGCCCTTCTGGCAGCAGCCAAGCACAGCCTCGCAATCTTTTCTCGTTCATCTGCGTCCTCAATCAATTCGCCTCCCTGTGCCAAAAGACTCGCTACAAGTAGCATGTGTTTCTCAAAATCCCGAGCCGGTAAATGCTGCCGAAGGTTGCGTCCCAGCTGTAGTTGATACTGGACTCTTTGCTCGGGTGGTATCAACGAAAAGGCCGCTTCCTGGAATCGATCGTGGGGAAACTTTCCGGCGCAACGATCAAAGTCGTATACAATCATGTTTCGTTCTTCCGCGACACTCAATCCCAACAAAACCGTGGAGGATGCCACAGCTCCAGCATGGCACAACACACTTTCGTGGAGCTCATTTCCGAGACACGAGGCCACCTTGAGCACTTCTTGTACGTCCTGTGGCAGCTGCTTCATCTTTTTGGCAAGTAATCTCACGATGCGATTGTCATTGGTACTAGTGTCGTCCGTGCTAGACCGTTCTCCATCACTAGTAGACACACTCAGATCTTCCTCGTTCCAGTTCAAAAAATGCTTCTGATCACCGCTGATGGAGACCTCTCGCTTCATCAATCCATCTTCATAGACGCGTTGGATGTACTGAGAGGCAAAAAAGGCATTTCCCTTGGTTTGCAGATGGACAATTCTGGCCAACGACGTAGATTGAGTGGGGGGCATTCCCAAATCCACCAGCATTTGTGAAACGGTATCCACGGTCAAATTGGAGACTTGAATATCGGTGAGGCGTGTATTGTTTTCTTCGAGATTGCGCAAGACGATCGACAGGGGATCGTGCAAACCCACTTCATTGCCTCGGCAAGTTCCCACAATGACGAGCCCCTGACTATCACCAAACGAAGGAGAGGCAATGGCAGTGAGCAAATCCAAGGATCCCTCGTCGGCCCACTGCAAATCATCCAATAGCAAGACAATGGGATGTTGAGGCCGGATCACCGCTTGCATGAGTCCCTTGAACGCCGCCGTGAAAAGCTTGCGGTTGTTTTCCACCATGATCATTCCCTTATTGGTCGAGGAGTCATCGTCCGAGGAGGATGCCTCACCCTCCGTTCCCAAAATCTCTCCCAAACAAGGCATGGCATCTACCAGTAGATGGATATGAGATGCCACAACAGCAGATTGCAGAATGGTACTCTTGACTTGTTGGCAAAATTCGGTTCCTTTGGCACGCACACTCTGAGTGAATTGTTCAATGGCACTCATAAATGCCGAAAAGGGTTGCGCCTTGTTGCGATACTGATCAAATTTCCCCACTAAAAAGAATCCTTGCTGCAAAGTCACAACATGATCCTCCAGCACTTGCTTGGCCAAACTGGTCTTGCCCGTACCAGAGGGTCCTGTAATCAAGACTAATTCTGGCGGAGGATCGGGATGGGCCGTTCTTCGTTGATACGCTTCTAGCAAGGCATGAGACTGTACCTCGCGATCGTATAATTTCAGCCGTTTGGAGGAGGAAACCTGATCCCACCAATCATCATCATCATCTGTACCAGTACTGTTGGAATGGTCCTGGTCATTTGCCGAAATTGGAGTAGTAGTAGTCTCTATTCTTTTCGGAACGGTTGTTGCTCCATTCACTGCTTCTGCATCTCGTTGTTGTTCTTGTTGTCGTCGTCTTTGAGCCTCCTTGTCTGTCGCTGCTACAGCAGCACGTTGTTTGACCATTTGCTTGAGTGTCTTGCTGATGAAAGTCCGTGCTTGCTTGTCTCCCACGTCTTTCCAGAGAGGAAGCGTCTGGGAAGTACCTTCTTCTACAATCAAAAACCGACCAGGCGGCTGTAACAATCTCCACTCCTTCAAGATTTCCACCGCCATGAGCGGCTGTTCCATCTTTGACTTGGACGCATATTCCTCACAACGAGATTCCAAGAGATTTCGAAATCGAATATTGGGACCACTCTCATCATTTTGGCTCTTTAGCAGAACATCGTTTTCTTCGTGGGGGTCTGCGATCTTGTAGAGAGGCCACTCGAACTCCATACGGTATAAGCAGTTGGTTGGTTACTGTGGAGAGAGAAGTTTAGCCAATGTCAATTACTACCTACGGAAGACCTTGATCGAAGACTCTCATCTTCTATTGTCGCCATTGTCGCCTTGAACCCCCCTCTACTAGTACTTCAGGGTCATCTGTTTGTTTGCCCCCCTATACAGTAAAATTTTAAGTCCAAAAGATTTTTAGTCGTGGTTGCTCCGCACCAGCTCTCCTCTTGCGATCTTTACAAAATTTGGGCGCAAAGCCGTTGCACACCGTCGGGCAAGTGAATGAATGATGGAGTAGACTACTAGTTTTAGGTGAATTATGAGTTTTACAGGTAGGCCCCGGTAGGAATTCTACGGAGTGGCGGCAGCTCATTAATCACTTTCGTAAACCTGGTGTAAATCCCTAATGTCGACACCCTCTCGCATCTTATTGGGATAATGGAATTAAATGTTTAGAGTTAAGGGACGGCTCAATACCGCTTACTTCGATCCCATTTTCTAGTGACTGACCACACATCGAAACAACAAACACAAAGAAAGAAAACATTCCCGATGAGAATCCGCCTTCGAACCCTTACGAACCATCTCCAGCCGCCGCAACCTCGGAAGCGTGTAGGCTCCCAA